AGAGTTTCCAGAATTTTCCCTCAGGCCAATAGTGGCCTTCTACTATTATAAATTAATGTTACTTTTACTAACAAAAAAATCTTTAAGACTGCTATTTATTAATAAAGAAATATTTTACATATTTCATTTATTCTGGGGGAATAAAAACAAAAGAGCCTCAGGCCAGTGGTGCACTCAGGATTTAATCTTGAGGGAGTGAAGTTAAACAGATAAAAACTTTTTAATGTAAATTCAATAAAATTCCCGCATGATGTGATTGCTAATTCATTAGTATAAAAATAGAAGACACGATACAATATAAATAAATGTAAAAAGATATTAATTAGAAAAGGATTTTTGGAAAATTTTTAGTGTTTCTTTCCTTTTCTTTGGAGGGTGCAAGGGCTTCTCGGACTCCCCTCTTGATGCGCCAGGCCTAAATCAAGCTTTAGATGGCTCTGTGTGTGTGTGTAATATATATATATATATATAATTAAAATNTTACTCGAGCAACTGCAACAGTAATTTGATTTCGAAGTTCTGCCAAAGTTGCAGGTACCTTAACAAATCCTCAGGAGAAAAAAATTAACGAGGTGGCATGATATCGGTCACTCCAACCAATTTATATCCAGACAATCAGTTGTTGAAGTACTGTACTTCTGATCATCTTCGTGAATTGAGTAACGAGGAATTGTTGGAGGATGTCTAGATACACAATCCCGTAAAGTCGAGTAACAATTAAAGCAATGATACCGTCTGATCATACTTCGGTGAGAGTTTTCGGTACAAAAATTTACATAAATGAAACGTGATGTGTATTGTGGTGTTACTAATTTTAAATAAGATTTATGTTATTCAATTCAAAACAATTCTTGTGATTGGTTCTATGTTAATATGGAAATAGGATTAAATAGGTCCTTATTTACACTTGACCTTGAATCCTTAACATTGGTATTGAATCTATTTAATCTAAATACATTCATTTTAATAATTTCTTATCGAATTATGTATTATTAAGCATTATATTTATCCTTATTAACAACATATTTAGTTTAATACGAAGAATAATTTACCTTCTACTTATGTCTGCTATTAGGCCTAATAATATATTTACGAATTAAATGGACTTATTAAACCGTTTAAAATAAAGTTCTGTGTTATTACTGTGTACATTCTTTATTTATAAACAAATACTTACTAATTATTTATATGTGTAAAGTTATAAATCTTATAACTTTAAAAAGATGAATCTTGTTTATAAGTTTCTAAGGTAACTATAACCTCTACACCAAAAACGAATAAAATCATTAGCAGACGATCTACGGCGTTGAGATTAAATTTCGAAAGTTTATAATTATTATCATTTTTTTTTTTTTTATTTTTTAAAATTCATCTGAAATAATAATAATATAATAATATTATTATTTCAGATATTATTATTATTATTATTATTATTATTATTGTTTAATTCGATTTCTTAAAATATATGTTTTATTAAAATTTTGTGTTTTTTTAAATTGTTTTCGCCTTATGGACACTTTTTTTTAACTCTCTCCGTCATGCGAACACAAAGAGGGCTTTTATATAAGCTCATTATGGGACCTGCCAGGTTCACAATAGAACGTCCTGGTAGTGAAGACTTGGGACCAGACATATGTGGGACAGACTGTCATAAAAGACGGCCGGATGGCCGAGCGATCAAGGTGGCCGCTCTGGGGGATCCGGGATCCTCAGATCGATAGACTGAAATGGTAAGGAAGTTAGCCTTTATCATCTTAAGGTGCCGGCCACCTGGACGACACCTTGTAGACATTGAAATTACTTTTCATGCCCATAAATAATGTTATGTCATGTTTCACCACGGCTAGTAAAGGGCACGTCAAGCGCAGCAACCGAGGACTGGGCAACCCGATATAGAAACCGCGGTTCTTTTCCCTCTTTTCGGTCCTGTTCTGTATGTGTAATAATATATAGCGAATAAACGTGTTGTGGTCTGAAGACCACGTGTTCTGTTGCGTAACCGGCTCGTAACCAGCCCCTTAGGTGGTTCACGGAGTAAAGGAGGGATGGGCCCTCATAGCGTAAAAGTTTTCTGTTTGTTGTTGTAAAAGTTAATGGGAGGAGGGGCGATATGTGGTTTGAAGATCACATGTTCTATTGCGTAAACAGTTCCTTGGGTAGGCCCCAGGTTAAAAAAATGATGGGCATTCTCGATGACAACCGAAAAAAAAACCCGAATCAAGGAGGAAGAGAAGGGGATCGCGCATGCTCAACGGAAGAAGCGGGACTTTTCGGATGAAAGAAAGAGGAGAGAAGACGTGTAGACGATAGAGTCACGAGATTGTTTTTGTGTGTGTGTGTGTTGTTTCCTTTCTTTTAGTGTGTGTTATGGCTTAGGGACAGAATAGTGATTTTTTTTGTTTTGTTCCTACACGGGGAATACTCTAAAGATTCAGTACTTCCGCACAGTGTAATGTGTTAACGACTTGTATCTACAGTACTGTATTTACTTCCTCAGACATAGATCAATAAGATACACGGGAATCTTACAGATAAAAAGCCAAATAATGATATGTAACAAGAACCCAGACATTCTGATGAAGTCACTGAAGAAAATTTCTGAGAGTCCGATTTGAATCGGATTTGATCCTTAGAACAGCAGACTGAGATCTCTGCTTCAGTCATCGGTATATATAATATATTTATTTATTTATTTAAGCCAGATGAATGAAGCGATATATATAAGCTTTAAATGTTTGTCATGTGATACTAAAAATTTGATCAAGAATTTGGCACTTCCAGAGACTATTTGCTGCTAATTTATAATATTCCTGTTTCAATAGTTGAAATACATAACTGAAATTTCGATCGAGCTAAGGTAAAATGCCTTTCATGCATATAAGTACAGTACAGTGCAATGTTCACAATTTTCGATGATTGTAGACTTTGCTGATTATTTGAAGACAAATAATTTCTTACAGAATTTGTTATAATTTTCTGATATCTTTTAGGGTTTGATTAATTATCAGTCTTTTTGGTCGTCGAATGATGGATGCGACAAAGGGATTGCTTGACACTCTAAGAGTTCCAGACTCGATTCACTGACCTCAGAAATTTTTGAAGGGCGATTTATGTTGACCCCACCACCCGGCTGTCCCAATGTGAGCCTGGCCGAGCCGACGATGGGTACGGAAAAAGGCCCAGTTAGTGCTCATTGCCAGAAAGAGTTTAAAAATAAAAATAAAGATAACGGAATGAATACATTTTCGCATACAAATGTTAAAATATAATTATTTATTATTATTAAATAAAATTTGTTGATAAGTTAATATTAAATGATTTAATTGTAATTAATATTTAAAAAAAACAGTTTACTTTTTACTAAAATATTTTAAGGATTGATGTAAGATTACATTGCAATTTAATCGTAACATGGCTGCTTCCACTGAATAAGAGGTTAATTAATATGTAAAGATTCAGCTCAGAGCAACTAGCAATAAGTTCTATACTATTACAATTTATTAACGGTAAAAACATACATTCGGAATAAAAGTTATAAATTTCTGTGATATCAGATACACCTGGTGTTTCAAAAATAGCTTTACAACTTAAAGACGAGATACTGATAGAATAAACATATAATTTTAGAACATTGAAATATCAAACACTTCAAGTTTTATGTTCATCGGTATTTTATGATTCAATGTAACTTTCAATTTTTATGCATCAGGCGTCCCATCTGTAGTTAATTTCTTTCCCTATGCGGTGTAGAGTCTCTGGTGTTACTCGAGCAACTGTAACAGTAATTTGATTTCGAAGTTCTGCCAAAGTTGCAGGTACCTTAACAAATCCTCAGGAGAAAAAAATTAACGAGGTGGCATGACATCGGTCACTACAACCAATTCATATCCAGACAATCAGTTGTTGAAGTACTGTACAATTCATCTTCGTGAATTGAGGAACGAGAAATTGTTGGAGGATGTCTAGATACACAATCCCGTAAAGTGGAGTAACAATTAAAGCAGCCATCTTGATACCGTCTGATCATACTTCGGTGAGAGTTTTCGGTACAAAAATTTACATAAATGAAACGTGATGTGTATAGCTATTTTGGTGCATTTATTAGAATTAAGGAACACAAGTAAGGTTTATTCTGTGGGCTGTGCTATAGCAAGCTTGTTATAGTATTCTTGAAGACGGATGCTAAAATATAAATCTGAAAAAAAAAGTTCGAATGTATTATGGAATTATTCTGCCGGGTGATGTCGGTCATAGAAAATAAATTCTATTTGAAGCCACGGAACCATCGTCAAGGTCTCACCCTTCTCCGTGGATTTTTGTTTATCCAGAAACACTGCAATGACCAGTTAGAATAGCCATTACAGTAAAAACTGGAAATTGTTGGAGTAATATTATCGGGAAGTCTGCAGCAATTGCCAAAATTCGAAAATTGTGGGTAAAAATAATCGCCACTCACGATAACGGTGTCACGAAACATGATTCCGGATAGACATCAAACGCGATAAAAGAGTCACGAATTACAATTACGAATAGACGCCAAGTGAAACTTCGGATAGTCGCGAATTACAATAACAAGATAATCGCCATTTTTTTAAAATATTTTTATTTTTTCCGCCCTATGGGCACTAAGAGGGCCTCCTTCTAACAAACCCATTATGGGTTCGGCTAGGCTCACAATTGGGCGGTCAAGTGGTGACCCAGACAAATCCGAACAGACCACCCCCAAAAATTCCTGGGATTTTCGACCCGTCCGGATTCGATCCCAGGTCCCCAGACCTGTAGGCTGCCACCTTAACCGCGCGGGCATCCGGCCTCAACGATAGTTGCCATTTCCAAATTTCCAACAGCATAGTCATGGTTATGGATAGCAGCCAATTCAGACTTCGAATAATCTCCAATTTAGATTCTGTATATTCGCGAATCCCTGTTATGTGTAGTCGCTAATCGGGATTTCCGCGTTTTAAGTTTGACTATGAGATGCGATCAGTAAACGAATTTAATTACTATTACAATTTCTTTATTAAATACTTTTTTCCTTAATTAAATTAATTCAGAGAAGAATACATATGCAATTATTCTTCAACATCTTCGTGACAAGAACACTCATTTTTTGTTTTAAGTTTTTCCATCCTGTAAGCACTTACAGGTTCCAGAAGATGAAGAAAGTTGATTAATTAAAGGCTTTGTTGGTGTCCATTGGACGGAAAGAGTAAACACGAAACGGGTCTCGACATATCCGGGACTGACCAACTCTTATGTATAACCCCCGAAAGAATTTACGAATCAGTTAGAAGGAAATAGAATTTACCTCGCCATTACCACTAGACTCTTTTTCTTTTGCTCTCCCTAGTAGCCCGAATACAATTATATTTTATTACAACATTAATAAAATTATTATTATTTTATCATACCGGTAGGATACATAACACCAATTTCCAAAAATTGTAGGCTGGATGGCCGAGAGGTTAAGGTGGCAGCCTACCGCTCTGAGGGACCCGGGATCAAATTTGGATGGGTTGGGAATTTTTGGGGTGGTCTGTGCCCCGTTCGCCACCCGGCCGTTCCACTGTAGGCCTGGCCGGTTCTATAATGGACCTGATAAAAGAGGCCCTCTTAGTATCGAAATTACCGATGTATTTTGTAATCAGACTTAAAAGACAGAAATGACGTCAATACACTTTTATGCTTAATAATGTGCCATTTAAGCTTCAAATAAAAATTGCCCATTGATTTTTTTTTTATTCAGGTTTCCTTTCCCTCTATAAGTCTAAAATTTGTCCAAACATTTCTGGAACATCCTGTAAATTAAATATGAATTGAATGACTTTAATACACTTTCACAATTTAAAATGCGCTTTAATCATTCTACATTTGTTAAAGACGAAAACGGAATTTTCGTAAAGCTTCTATTTATAAAAATTATCATGTCGAACAGCATTAAAAATGATCGATTAGCATTTTAGGCCTAATTGGCCAATACTTGAGTTGGGTCTTTTACCCTTGAAATTCAAAAATAAAAAGCAAAAAGATCGATTAGTGCATTCGATAGACCTGCAATCGATCGATCTTTAAGTTCTCCTCCAAAAACTATCGCTTTCATTATTGAAATTTTGTTAAAATAACTTAAATTTCACGTTTAAAAATTATTAAAATACAAACTTACGTCGAATTGATCTTGATTTTAAGGTTAAAAGGAAAGAGAGCGTCATTCACACGAGCAATCAAACAAGAAATAAATTGCATCTTGGAAGATAACAATGTCGAAGATTCTATTGTTGAGTCGGTGGATTAATAATAAAAAAATTCTTATTATCACGTCGTTAAAGTTCTAAATTGTCTAAATAATTTATATTAACCCTTAATTTACCAAGCTGGGATACAAAAATTAGACAATAGCAGAAAACAATTTTATGTTGACTCACCGATATAAAACTAATTGTCCAAAAAAGTTATGCGTCAAAACGGCGTTGAAATCAAATAACACTTTATTAGTGCAAACTTAATGACAATGGTAATAAGTGATCAAAATCGGGCAAGCAGGCATGCAACTACCTTCTGCTATCCTGCTGCCATAGGTTTGCATATAGATGTTGCAACTGTGGCTCCAGATCTCTGGTACGCTTAGATGTCCAAAGCCGGTGTCCTACAAGTAAATTTCTATTGATCTGTATAAAAAGTGTGATTCATCATTGAAAATAAGTTTTATACGTGAAAAATGTGTTTATATAAATAAATAAAATGTGAGAAAATAAAAGACTTTTTTTAATACATAAAAAACAATGGAGTGAATAATTTGTAACAAATAATTTTCAATTCCACGTCAAATGATTCTGCTTATCCTTCTTATGATAAATTCGTGTGCTAATCTTTCTTTGGGACGATAAATTGTAAAGCTTCTGAAACGAAGAATAACGTATAGTTATTTTAAAAAACATCATTGCAAAAAATGTTTGAAGTTAAGTGGGATCTCTGCTTCTCTTTGCGAGCTTCTTGATTTATCATCTATTAAACAAATGAAATACTTTTAAAACTAGTTTTTATTCGTTAAAAATTTATAAGATTTTATTTTGTATTAATAAAACTAAATTCTAGAGGTATGGGCCACTATGAATCCGGGAAAATATCTCCACTCGCCTCTCTCTCAATGGCCCTGCTCTTTTCGTCCTGCAAGTATTAAGAGGACATTTTCATCATAATTATCATTGATTTTGTCAAATCTACAACAATGGCAGACAGATGGTGAAAGTTTGGGAATTGATGGTATACTATAAAGTACGATCTGCAAATTAAGAATGCTTCCCGGAAGATACGCGAAGAAAACCAGGAAAATTCCACGTGGCTATACTACTGATCGGGTACAAAACCGCGACCAACTCTGTTTGTTTGTTCAGTTAAGTTACGGTAACGCAACACTTGAGTGATCTACCTAGGGGAATACCTTCCGGGAGGTCTTTTTAAAGGTAAATGACCCCTGGGGAGGAGCGAACCCACGACCGAACTCCCGGTGTTCAGGAAATGGAACCGCTTGGCCACTGGTGGGTCCCCCACTATCAGTGTTTAGTGATTTTATCCATTCGATCACTAGCGGGTAGATTCATTCGTAAAAGAACATGTAATTTTATTCTACGTATGTTTTTACTAACTGGAGCAGTGCCTTGCAACACGCAACTGATTTTCATATTCACGATGTTTTGCTCGAATCCAATTATCAAATATCCCAAACAAGTTTATTCAACAATATTTCATTAAATAGCTATACTAATAATATTTAACAACCAAATTTTTAAAAACGAAATAGAAATCTCTCTAATTAGATTCGATAAGAGTATCAAATTTATTTTAATTTTTTAAGGGGGCGCTTTCTTATGAAGTTCGTCTGATTTTCTCGAATGTCATTAAAAAAGGTCAGTTCTTAAATTTGCTATTATATATTAAAATTAGCCGAAAAATACACACCCAATTTAACAAAGAAATTATTTAATCCACACCAGATAACACTGTTACGCATATTAGATTAATAGGCTAATTGCGTAATGACGCAATACGTCAATGTAGCCTTAACTTGTTGCGTCATTTCGAAACGATGATTTCTAACTTAATATTATCGCCTATTATAATAAAATGGACGAATGAGAAGTAAATTTATACCACATAAATGTCTACTAGACATTTTTTCAATTTCTCCAACAGTAAATGTAAAATACAAGAAGCTAAGTACTGCTTCCAATAATAGGCGCTTTGCCTAGTAAAGTACCTTTAATACAGCAATGGAAAGTCAGTTTCATTTAAAACGGGCTTTGTGATTGGCTTGCTTGGCCAGCTGTATTTAACGAGTTATCTAGTAAAATGGCTTTAAGCTTTGATAGATTAGCTTTGAACCCATACAAATGCTTACTTCTAAGTAGGCATTTATTTAAAAAACACTTTTACAAATGACATTTTGAGATTCCAATTATTCAGGACTTTAATTTCTTCATTTTATTATAAATGAATGTAAACAAGTCAAGATTCAAATACTTAGAAACAGCTTTTAATCCACTTAAGGAAACTACAGCTCTTTATTGAAAAAGCTTTTGGCTTTTATTGGCTGCCATTGGAGAAATCTTTTAAAAGAAAATCATTGTTACATTTGTACAATATAGGAAACCATTAAATGTGCAGTTATAGAAGTGTAGAAGTAATAATGATATGTTTTATGTATAAAGATGTTAAAAGCTTAGCATAACCTTTAAGATTTGCTTCGTAATTTCTAAAAATGTCATTTCTATCAGGAGGTATATAGAATTTCACATTATAATTCATATTGGGGTGTTTTATAAAGATTTAGGTAGGCCAAAAAGTACCATGTCTAAACATTATATATTTGAATATCCATTTGGTTGTTTTAATAAATTGTAAATCTTTTTATTGTATATTGTTTTTTAGAGCTCCATATATATATAAATCAGTCTAGTATGGCATATCTCAATCTCAAAATGATAGACTAAGTATCAACATCTGTTAAATATTGACTTTAAAAATTCATGAATTTTATTGAATATATTCTAATACAACCTTGTACATAGAATACTTCATACAAAAGCACATGAAGTTATCCTATCTTTAATAATTTTAAAGTAATTGAGTTAATAATAATTTGTGAAATTGGATAAAATTTATTCTTTTGAAATTGGAAGACAGGATTGCATTACTATAGTGCATAATTTTTTACAGGAATTTAAGATTTTATTAATAGATCAAACTGTTAGGATTTGAATTCGATTCTGAATATATTTTGATATGAGTTTGTGTCACTCTCGGTAGGTCACAAATTATCTCCAAACTAATTTTGGAAGTAGTTTAAAAGGTAAACTTCAAAACTGCATGAAATTAAAAAAAAAAAAAAGGACACACAGTATTGTACATTTTGCTTAACATGATTTTATTTTTTAGTCCTAAAAGTAAAAATTCAAAATGGAAAAACCCTAAAATTATATAAATCTGATTATTTCAAAGACAAAAGTACATTTATCTATGATTTAAAGCTCATTTATAAATCTAAATTTGAAACAGAAGCCAATACATTTCTCACCCATTGTTAGCAGAATTATCAAAATATAAAAGAGTTCATAACACTTGATTATAAAAATCAGTGGGGAAACAGTAAATTAAGGCACCCACTCATTACAAAATCATTGTGAGCAAAAAAAATCTTAAGATTTTTTTACGTCAAACGGAAGAAAAAACCAAGTCTTCATAGACACAAAGACGGATTCCATATATCTACTATGACATCCGTCTTCCGAAGAACAGGAACTCACATTTTCACTAGTCTTTATTCTAAACCACCAAAAACGGAAAAGTCTCTCTCGTACTGTGTAATAACTGCCCTGGAAAAGTCCGAACATGATATTGATCAAATAACACTACACTAATTTACACACAACTACTTTTTAACATGAAGAATTGTGTGCCAATGTACAAAAATTCAGTCTGTGGTTTGATTAAATATTCCAATTGTTTTTATTTGGATATTTAATCAAATAATCCTCAAAGGAAAATGCAAGTTGCATATCTGATTGCATTCTTCATTCTGCACTTGCTTTGATGGCAATGACATTGACTTCACCGTGATCCTGGATTTCAGTCTTTTGCTGTGGAAATTAAAGTACGATAAAATTTTAAAAAATTAAAAGAAGCAAGATAAAGGAATTTTAAGAATTTTCAATTAAAGATTCTTACCAGTGAATTATTAATAGTTTTAACACCATCTACACAATACTGGAAATAGTGTTCCCCTTCTGGAACATCATATGTAGTACAGAAGACATTATCTCTGAAAGAAAAATATATTACGTAAACCAGAATGTTCAATATTTGAGGTTTAGTAAGTCTTAATTTAATAATTTTGCCATTATATCAGGCGTCCATTAGTATTGAATGAAATGCACTAATTCATCAGTATGTAGATTTGCTCTGATTGTTGCAATTTCTCACAGCAGACAAACTGGAATAGTTTTGACAAAGAGTTAATATAGCAGATATTAAAATGTATGCTTATGGATATGTATACTTGACATTTACCCATTCAGAAAACATGTTTGAAAATTAGAAAGAGCATTGAACATGACTTCAAGTTTCTATTGAACATTCTGATTCAGTATTAATAAATTAAAAATAGATGCAACAAAAATAACTCTTAAGAAGGCTATTTTGTAGCTTTTTATGCAATATGCCTAAAATAAAACTCATTTCATATTTATATTTAAACATTCAATTTTACTTTTTTACAGGTCTTTAAACATAACTTTCTAAATATATAAATTGAAGCTTGCAGAAAATTAAAATAGAAAATCACAGTAGACTAATACAAAAAAGTTAGCAATGCTTGTATGCTTGTTCATATATAGAGACAAGCACTTAAGTGACCACTCAAATAATAAAAAAAAAGTCAGTTCCTTTAGTCCTCACAAGGAAAGCAACTTTGCAATTTTCTAATTCATATTTCCATTCAAAATAAACAGTACTAAAATAATTCATTTCAATTTCTGTAAAAATGTCAATTAAAAAAAAACAAGAATGAATGAATAAAATCGTTTATGATGTTGCATGTTATAAAAAGATAGTTATGTTCTCAGAGAACTAAAAATTATAAGAATTACATATACTAGTCATTTAAAAATTAAATTTTACCATATTACATATTACAATCTATATTACCACTTAAGTGTAAAAACCATAAATTAAACAGAAAATATTTGGCACAGTTTCTTGACATATGAGACACTTATTGAATGATAAATGTGCCCATCCCAGATCTCTGTTGTCAAATAAGCTATACAAGACAGCAAGATATGTAACCTAACCAAAACATCTTCAGATGGACAGATATAGCAATACAGAAGTTTTGATGCAAATCAAATGGTGTTGAGACAATAGAAAAACTTGAATGTTTGGATATATCATATCACATTTCTACAAGCTGTCATTGAATATTGGTTGCAACACTGATCATAAACTGTAAAATCTTCAAACCTGAATGATGATTCCTTGAAAACTGTTCTTAATTTAAGTGTTGCAACTATGTTCCTTTTCCATTCTTGTCTTAAATAACAAGAGTAAAACATTAGTCTTGCCTATTGTACAGTACATTTGAAATTTCAACATACTTTGGTATCTCAAATACTGCTTATGTGACTATTTTCTTGTGTTTGTTATAAGCACACACACTTTAACAACAACTAATATTTTCAGTTGATCAAATCACCAATCTTCAATTTTTAGAAGTTTTACATTATTATAAGTTCAAATTAGAAAACATACAAACATCTTTAATGTGTAAAAAATTATTGATACTATATACAATTTTTTCCTATACATTTAACATTAACACATTTTTAGTATTCATACTGAAGCCTTTGTTACTGAATTATGAAATAAAATTTTATAAACTTTTGTATTGCACAAGAATATTTAAAACATGCATACAAATAAAGTTCCATATTAAATTTCTTAGTAACAACAGCAGCAACAGGAACTAGAAAAGATTAGTCTACATCCAAAACATTAATTATGGATTACTCCGCAGTTAAAAACATAACATTAATCACAAAGTACTGCTTAAATTTATTTTGAACAAATTAGAATTTGATGCTTTTAAGATATGAAGATGAGAATATCACCTTGAAAACAGTTTTATTTTTTTTTAATTTTAGTAAAATGACAGCAAAGATTTCTACTAAATAAGAAATTCCTTATTTTACTTTATTTGCTAAAAAAGGCACCCTTAAGATGTTAAAAAATAAATATTTTAATCTGCACTTTAGTGTAAGTTAAGTCTTTCTTAGGAAGAAGAAATATGTAAGACTTGTTTAAGATTTCAATTGATGATGCTTAGATAGAACTGTTTTTGGTATTAACAATTTTCAATTATAAAAAATGTCTTTAATAGTTATCAAAATTTACCTATAAAGCTTTATTTTCTTAATAATTACAGGATATATTTTTACATTAATGTTTACTTTGGATATGCTGTTTATTAAATTTAATAGTATCAGCAGTCTTCAGTATTTCAATTATTAATACATTCAATTTGTAATTGTTAAATCAAAATATTGGTTTATATCTCAACTAAGAACAATTATCTGGGTGTGACCTTAAGCTAAGATATATCTACACGTGCAAAATTTTAAATGGAATTCATCAGTATGATTTAGCTTATAGTTGTTTTTTTTTTTTTTTTTTTTTAACTTTTTCTGCCTTGTGGGCACTAAGAGGGCCTCTTTTAGCAAGCCCATTATGAATTTGACCAGGTCCACAATGTGGCAGCAGTGGACTGGTGAGGGACAGGGCCCAACATAGTTGGACAGACCATCAACTGGAAAATACCTGGGCTTTATTGACCCATCTGGATTTGATTCCATGTCCCAAGAGTGGTAGCGCTCCACCTTCACTGCTCAGACATTTGGCTTAGCCTATAGTTACAACAAGACTGCTTTCAGAGGAGGTGGTTTATGTCACCAAGTGACACCCCTCATCATCTCATTGAAATCCATGTATTTTGAAGATATGCTTCAGACATAAATTAGTGGTACATATCTATGGCTGGGAGTGGCAATTCTCACAAGTTGCGGCCACTTCTGGCATGGCTGCAATTTGTGAGAATCGCCACTCCTAGCCAGCTTTCCACACAGACTAGTTTTGGTGGCAACAGCAGGTGAATAATCCTAGATTATTAGGTGACGTTGACAAAGCTACCAATTGGTTATACAAAGGCTTGTGTGTTTTGTCATCAGTCAGTTGGTATTTTTGTTTGGTTGGTTTCTTGTCCATGCTATTTTCCAATATATATATTTTTAAACTTATCATAATTTCTATTGCTTTTTTGTTTATCTCATTTATTTTGATTTAGTTTTTATGTAAAAACAGTTAATGACATTTAAAAGCTGAATTTGTATAACAAAATTTATAAATTCTTTATTAAAATCTCAAAGATATATAATAATTTAATTTTTTTTTAGCTATTATTGTAAGGAACCAAGTCCAAGCGTTATTTTTATTTTTGTTTTTATTCTATTTTTTTGGGGGCTTATGTTTTGTTAGGATGAAGGTTTCCTCACCACTCACCTTAGAAACTTAAAAATAGAAGAAGAGAAACCAACTCACCGATGAGAGAAAAGCACCGTAGATAAAACTCGCGCACACTTGCGCTCCCAAGCAAAAAAAAAGTAAGTCCGCACCGAGAAAGAGGGGGGAGACCCCACAAGCACAACTTAGGAACTTGCTAAACCTTATAGATTAAAACATCCTGAAAATTGTCAAAAAGAATAATGTAAAAGGTTAGCGAGTATTGTTGGAAAATAGACTGCCAGGCAAACAGGAAAAATTTATTGTTAGCAATAAGTATGTAAATGAGGGGAGTGATCTCACTCAGAATTGTGACGTCACTTCATAGTATAAAGACCGAACCTCAAGTGAAAATGACCGAGGTGAGCTTCTGTTAGCAACGAGCGTGGTGAGCTTCATAGCAGCGAGCAAGAGAGAGGTGTCTGATAGGATAAAGTAGTTCCAAGGCAATTTTGAAGTTATTCGATTTGTGGATCGAAGGTTAGAGAAAGTCTTGAGAGTTGAGGAAAAAGGTTCCTAGTATATTGAGGTGACGATTAGGACCTTTAATTCATAAGAATTATTGTACATAAGTCTTTGAATTTTTTGTCGAATTCCAAAGGGAAATAGAGTTAAGTTAGAAAATAGATTGATTGGAGTTTTGTCGGGTGGATTCTTATTGATTTATGTTGAATAAATTGTTATTTGATTTTTACTAAATTTTGTATATAGTTATTACTAGAAATATTATTAAATATTGCATTGTTTTTGATTAACTTTGTCATTATTTAATTCAGTGCACGCTTAAAGTCCAGGTCTGGCACATTAACGTGAATCCGCATAAAGTACCCATTAGGTAACGGTTATTTCTGGCACACAGTCATGTCGATAATCATTGGAAAAGTCGGAAAAGTAATATAGTGCTTTACATTATGAGGAAATATAAAATTTAAATACTATTTAATTGATAAAAGTTTTTCATTGAAAATTTTTTTAAATTTAAGTATACTATTTAAGAAAAGTAATATAAATATCTTATATATAAAAAGTTATAGCACTGCAGTAGAAAAGTGGCAAGTTCCTGCAGAACATCTTTCACACAGATGACTGAGTGGTGCCACTGAGTGGCATCACTCAGAGTGTCAACCATCTGAGAGTCAACCATCTGAAAGCAGCCCTAGAGTTATGGAGTCCACATCTGAAGCAGTTTTGGGAGGAGTAACAGTCAATAAAAAGTTTACTTACTCTGACTTTGATACACTTATAACTTGAATTCAGTATGTTTAAGTATAATCCTAAAAAATAGCTTGATGATTCACATGGAGGTGATAAAATGTCATTTACCCTCATATATACATATAGCTTTTAAGAATAGTGGGAATCAAAAAGGAGCTAGAACCAGCAAACAGTTTTATGTACTAACTCCACAGCCGTGGTGACAAGCATGTTTCTCTGGGGTATAAAGAGAAAGTAATGCAGAAATCATCAATGAAGGAGCTAACAATTTTAAAGTTATTATTCAAAAGAATTAATGTAAAATTTTCCAAGAATGTGCATTAAAAATTAACTTAATTGGTGTTCTGGAAATGATATGTTAATAAGTAAACAGGAAAATTGATTAGTGAAATTTATACTATTTTAATATTAACAAATCAAAATTTGGTTTTGGCCCAATTAATCTTTGACCATGTCCAAAGATCAGCAACAACAACAAACAACAGCAACCATTTGACTATGCCAGAGTTTGTTAAAAATTAGCAAAACTCTGGCATTGACAATTATCTTTAGAAAATAAATTAAATAGTGTTAGATCAAGTCATTATCAGTTTCAGCTAGCAGAAAGTTAAATTTATTCTAAAAGCTAGGATATCTAAATAGAAGCAATTGCTTCAATACAATTTGCAATAGTGTAGAATGAAATAGAAAAAAAAACTGAAAATATTTGATCTTAAAGGACAACATATTGAATTTTATAAAAATTCTATGCATGCTATTATGTATCCATAATGAAATATCATGTTTCCATTAAGGTAATCTAACAAAATGCTTTGCTTTGTCTCCCGTGATGAAAGATCCCTGATAGATTTAATGTTTTTTTACATTATGTATCTCCTAAGTGTGGTCATCATTATATACCTCCTCTTTATTAATTTTGTATATAATGTAAAAAACTAACTGTAATTGAAATAATATTTGAATAAATATCAGAATATGAACACAAACAAGAAATTTCATTTTATTATTGGATTAGAAGTATGTATTACTGAAAGATTACACTTTCAGTAAACATATTATATTTAGAATTATGAACAGAGTACTGTACATCAGTGTATCATATGACCTACTAGAGTCAAAAAACTGACAGTACAAATAATAATAAAGTTGAGTTAGCTAACAGAAAATATTGACTGAAGCAGGTATTTTAATATACACTATTTGAAATTAAATGATAAACAACAAGGTAAATTTTTACAATGTAAGAAATACTGCTTCATACATAAAAAAGGAACAGATGATAAGTAAAATCAATTTAAATTTGACTTATTTTCTATTAAATAGGCTCTTTAATATGAACTATTTACCATGACAAGTATTGATGAAATAATGTCATATTTAAGATGGGTTTCAGTCTTGTATTTGTATGGAAATCATCTGACAAATGTAGATCTGCTTTATTTATTACTCATATTAATAAAATTAAATTAAAAAATGGGTGGAGCATTAAATTTGTAAAATGATTTAAACTATTCTTAAATTATTCAAGCAGAAAATAAATATAATTACTGTACATAAAAAAATTTCACCAGAAAAAAAACTATTACTTCATTTCTTTGCTGTAATTAGATTATATCAAGAAAAATTTTAATTACAATTTGAAATTATCTTCCAACATAGAAGAGTTTTAGCATTGAAAACTTTATATGTTAGTTCTGCTGTTTGCTTAAAGTGCAAAACTCATAGCCGGAAAAACAAATTTTATTATATTGTCTGATATATTCACAATTATATCACTTCAAATTTATGTATGCTTATATAAAATAACTTAAGAATTATAGTTAACATTCATACCAGTATATCACAATTCAGTTTTTATTTAAAAATTTTTTATTGTCAAAACAATGAAAGCAAAATGGAGGACTAAGACTAACATTTGTATAAACCATAAATATTTTTTCACTCTTCATCTTTCCAAAATGTCTGAATTCGATCTTAACTTCTTTAGAAACTGAATTTTTAATAAATTCAAAATGCAATATAAGATTATATCACATATTTGAATGTTCCAAATATCATTGCAAAACACTATATTCTAGATGTTTTTATATTCAAAATCCACTTCATATAAAAAATTTAATATTTACAAAGTTACATCACAAAGTTTATCTCAAAATACTTTATCTATATAGAGTTTAATATGCAACCAGGTGACTACCCTTTTTACAAACAATATCTAGACTTCAAGTTTATTTAATTTGATAATGCCTTGAAAAAAAGCAATGGAAATAATTTGTTTTGCATGTTTTACAAGTCATAAACACACTAAATGATTATCATCAAGATGAAATATGACTTATTATAGTCTCAGTAATTCATGAGATTTTAAGAGCATACACTAGAAAAAAAATAAATGAGTCAAATACATAAAAATGAAGGAGGAAGACTATATACTGTGTATAAATTTTGTTTATAGAAATGTGTCACTTTCTTCCAGATGAAATTAGCCAAAAAGTGGTGCTCCAACAGTAACTGCTTGAATAAAAGCAAGAAGTGCTTAATAAGCTGTTATTAATTGTTTGTTTAAAAAATATCAACTGCAGTGTAAAGATTTCAAAACTAATATACAGTCTAAAGCATCTGAATAAAGATCTGATTAAGAGAAAAAGGAAGAGTCAGACTGCTCAGACTGTAACAGTAATTAATGACTTTGAACTTGTGAAAAATAGCAAATTAACAAACATTAATGTAATGGATAATAGATTCAACAATATTGCTAAATGCTATAATTAGGCCTTCAGTGTTAATAACATGCAGTTTTGGAATAATCTTTGACACTTAAATTATTGTTTCAAAAATCAGTATAATAATAATTCATTTTTATTCTATATACTGTATGTAATGTCTATGAATATTATTAGTAATAAATGGCTATTAGAGACTGGCATCTGTTAATAACAGATGACAAATTTGTTTAATCATTAAAAAATTACTCATTCAAAATGAATAAAGCAGTAATTTGTGATTAATTTATAAGTAATATAAATTTCTGCAATCTTTAAGAATTTAAGTTATGAAAAAACTCATGATTAGGAAACTGGATAGTTTGGAAAACAAAAGGATTTGCTACTACAAAAACATGACATTAATTACACAGTTGTTCATTCTAATCCGACATTCTTTTGTATATGGCATGACTGTTCCTGCCAGATTCAGAATACAAATTTATATTTCCAATAGGAATCAAGAAATCTCTGAAAAAATTTCTGGCTACATTGCCAGAATTTTTCTAAGAAAATGACTATGACAAATTGAGACAATACATAATTTTGAAAAATACAATTTATAAAAAGGATAAATTAATAGTTTTGTGGTTCTTGTCAGACTATTAAAAAGTTGGTGTTTCATTTAGAAAAATATTTAAATTGATAATTCAAAAATATAACAATATAAAAAAAAAACTTACTTTTCTGTTAGAGTTAACTGTTCTGTCCAATTAGTAAAAGTTCCACATAAAGTAACTTCCTTTCCTCCATGTTCCCAAGTGAAAGTTGTTAGAATCTTTGCAGCTGCTGATTTCTACAACAATTTATATCTCAGGCATAGTATATATGTACAGAAACATTTATATAATAATAAAGTTTACATATATACATAAACATTAAGAGTATAAAATATTTAAATATATTAAAATCAGATATTTTTAGATTTAAAAGAAAACATTTATTTCTAGAGTTATCTTTAAAAGTGCAATGAAAAGTTATCTTACATTATTAAATTTAATCCAAAAATGTTAAAAACTTACCACTTTAATGTAATGTAAAATTTTATATAATTCAAAATTCCAATTATGAATAATGCATCAATTTTAAAATAGTCTTATTAGCACTTAAAGTATATCAAAAACCTGATCATATTTTACATCAATATATTCATAACTAATATGAAAAAAGAATTGTAAAACTAATCAACCAAATCAAGATATTTAAATTAAAATATAAGCTTAATTTTGTCAAAATGGATTTAAATAGTCAAAACTTTGAGACAGTGAACAAACCGTTTGGCATAAAGCCAGACACAGATTGGAATTAAGCCACTATATCCGGAAAATAAAACCTTGAATCTGAACTTTTTTCATATTTAATCTCAAAATAATATGATCATAAAAACAAACTTTTTAAAGTATATTAATTCATCAGTAAGTACATAAATCTTAACAGCTGGATATTGAGAGTAACTGGTTTCTTTGACCAAAATTGTCTATTCAATCATTCTAATTAAAAAATAGATTAGGAAAAATACTATTGGAACCAGAAAAATCTAGCATCAAATTTGATTTCAATAGTTTAACAGAATTTAGTGATGTTCTTTCAACAGATGTTAAAAACAGAAAAGAAAGAACCTGCACATATAAAATAGTAATCCTGTTAAACTTTAGGATTCATAAAGTTCTAACTTTTAAAATATAAATTGTCACTTTCCAAATCTATAACACACTAGATCTTTGAGAAGTGACATAAATAAATTCTTGGATTCTTAACAAGTCAAACATCATCTATTTTCATGCAAACAGAATTCAAAAATTCACCTTTTCAACTTATTTCTTAGTAATACATGCCTAACAATAATCTCTAACATCAAAAAGACACTACAGTATTTATTTTTACATACTAAAAAACTTGTCACCAGTATTCCAACTCTAAAAATACACCTGTAGAAAAATAAACTATTTTGAAACACTGACTTAATTCTAAATTTTAAATTCAGGAAAGTTAAACAGTTAGAATACATATGAATAAACAGAGCATTTCCGTTACAAATTGGCTTTATGCATTTAATACCAACAAAATTCAAGTAAAGCTATTAAATTTAAAACTGCATAATCTTAAATTTGTATAACAGTGATACTTACAGGTTGAGATTCAGCTACAGGTTCACTAGGGCTTTTCTCTACAACTTCACTATTGGGTTTGCTTTCTGCAGGGACCGCTGGAATTGCATTAACATGTTCACTATTTGCTACATTGTCCGTTTTAGCTTCTTCGGCAACAGTTTTTGCAGGTTCTATCGTGCTTTCTTCTTTAACACATTCTGGTTTAACCTGTTCTGAAACATTCTGGGGAGAACTCACTTCAGGTGGTGCGACTGTCTGTTCGGGAACACCATTGACAAGTTGTTCTTTAGGAGATTCTACAGTAGGTTGTTCTTCTTTTGGTGCCATTTCAACTGCTGGTGCTGGTGCTTGTTCTTTTGGAGCTTCAGAAACTGGTGGAGCTATATTTTCTTCTTTTGGCACCTCAGTGGGCGGTGCAGTTTCTGGAGATTTGGGTGACTCTAGAATGGGAGTTGGTGGCTGTTCTTTAATTTGTGGAATTACTTTCTCTTGTTCTTTTGGAGATTCTGTAATTGCATCTTGCTCTTTCTTTGGTTCTTCTATCACTGGAGTAGGAACAGGAGGTTGTTCCTGTACTTCTACAGGCTTCTCTTGTGATTGTTGTACCACTGGTTCTGCCACTTTTTCTTCTTTTGCTGGTTCTTGAGTGCTTACTTCTGTTTTAGGTGGTTCAGCAGGTGCTGGTTCTTCTAATTTAGGTGCTTCAGTAACTTCTTGTTGTTCTTTGGATACTTCAGGCACTTGTACAGGTTCAGGTTTTGGTTGTTCTGATGGTGGGGCTGGAGTTTGCTCTTCTACTTTAGTTGCTTCAGGAGATGAAGGTGGTTGTTCTGTTAATTTGGGAGTCTCTGGGGATGAAAGAGGAACAGATGGTGGCTCTTCTGCTTTTGGAGCTTCAGCTGGAATAACAGTTGGTTCTTCTTGTTTTGGTGCGTCCGGTGCCACTTTTGCTTCCTCTTTTGGTGTTTCTGGAACAGGTGCAGGTTGTTCTTTTGGTGTAGCAACACTAGGTTCAGGTGGTGGTTCTTGAGAAGGAGCATTCTCTGCAACTGCAGGTTGAGCAGCTTTTGGTTCTTCATTGGTAACCACTTCCTTTTGTACTTCAGCTGGAATTTCTTGTGGTTTTGTCTGCGTTTGATTTTGTTCTGTTAAATTGGGAGAAGCATTTTCTTTATTGCTCGTATCAGACTTTTGCTCAACAGGAGTATCTGGCGGGGGTGCCGCTTCTGTTTTCTTAGCTTCGTTAGCCTCTTCAGGTTTTATCTCATCTGGTTTAACTATAGAATCCGTTTCAGTGTTCTATAAAGGAAAAATTTAAAAAACAAAACTTTTAATTGTATTAATACAATTATTTAAATAAATTTAATTAGCAGCCAAAAAGCCAATCCAGTAAAATCTTAAAATGAAAAAGCAAAAACTGGCTTGATTAATAGTGTCAGAAGTATTAATTTGTTACAAAAGCAAAGCAGCATATTAAAAAATAATTCTAGAATGGAGTCAGAGGGACTGGATATCAAAATAAACCTTCTTTAAAAAGTTATTTCTATGACATTAAAATCATTACATTCCAAATAATTAAAAAACTTTACTAGATAACTGAAATGCTACCTTTTGAGCAAGAAGTTTCCTTATGAAGGTACACAGTCCACAAAGCACAGACATAAATAACTCCCATATATACTTAAAATTCTAAAAAATTATAAGGTACTGTCACATTCTAAAAAATGGTCTTTTAAAATCAGTTAAAATTATTTTTTTAAAATTCTCTAAAGTTAAAAGTTAATTAGAAGAATCAAACCATCTAAAAAAATTAATACGCAGTTCATTTCTGACACAGATTCCGAATTTGGCACAAGCCAGCAGATAAATATTTGGAAGAATTTATAGACAGCGAGGTAATAACGTTAGTTTGAAGAGCACGCATGCACTAAAAATAGGAAAAGTATTTATCCAGCTTTCCTCATTAAATATCAGACTTACAGGAAGGAAATTAGTTTTTAATAATGCACTTAACCAGTTTAAATACTGCTTCATACCCTTAGATAGGGGGAGAAATAATATTTTAAATATTGTACCAACAACTTTCTCATTTTCATTTAAGATAATTTAATTTAATAAAATATTTAGAAAATGAAAATAAAATTAAAAAAGAAAACTTTAACAGAGAGATAAAAATATATTACAATATAAAAATATTTGTAATTTTCTTGTTTATTTAATTCAAAATTTAGTCAAACAGTTTACATTAATTGACATTAAGTAATATTTTTGTAAAAAAACTGAAACATAATAGAAACAAGAACAAATGTTATACAAACTGAATGTTATTGTAATAATAATAATCAGTATATACAATATTTACTTTTGTTTTCCATTACAAAAATGTTTTTAAATTATTAGAAGGACAAAATAATATTTTTTCTTCTTCTGTAGTGTTAGTCATATTTTAAACCAGTGGTCCCCAACCCCCGGGCCGGTACCGGTCCATGGATCAAATGGTACCGGGTCGCCCAATGAACATTAAATTATTTCCATTTTANTTTAATTCAATGAAAGACGAACCATTCTACAATATACTAAAATAATTTTTTATTTCACATGAAAAAAGTAAGAGAAATTAAATAACTAACTGTGCAGATGTGTTCATATTTTCTTAAATAACATATTTGATTAGAATATTATAACAATGTTATTTGAGAATAAAATAACAGAAATCAATTTATACTTGAAATAAATTTATATTACTTCAAGTAAATTGGAGGAAAAAAAAATTGAACATGAATAAAGCAATCACATAACATTTGTGGAAATAAATTACAGCTATTTTTGTCATCTGGTCTTTTCATTTTTGATTTCATTCTCAATTTATATTTGAAATATGGTAAAGTAAACAACTATTAAATGAAAATAAAATTAAAAAAAAAACAGAATTTAAGTTACGCAGTGGAAACAGTTCAACGAAACTATCTCCCAAACAAACAAATTAATAAAAGTGAATGGTTAAAAGCATAAAATAATTTCTAGTTGGTTATTTAGATAAATATTCTCAACATTACAGCCTACCATTCTGGACTTTGAACAAGAACTTCAGATAAAACAACAGAAGCAAATTCTGTAAGCTTTCCCCTCTTCCAAATCTTGTGATAAAATGCCAAGTTTAACAAACTTTTCCCACGAGAAGTGAGGAGTAAGTTCCACCCAAAATTCTGACAAGATATACTACCCTCCAATCAAGACACTCCACCAACCAGAAGCTAGGAAACCAAAGTAGATCTCAAAGAATGAGTCACGGTTGTTTCCCTTTTAGGAAAGAAGACCATCACTGCCCAAAATGGGAAGCACACAGGATATTCCTTAAACTCATAATTGATGGAATTAGCTACTGTTTATGACAAACACCCAAACTGATCCACTTCCCTTGAGATGGGGAGAAATATCCAAAATTATTGTGGTATCAACAAAATATGGCCAGAAAGTTCTCAGGAGGCATGGAATACAAACCTGAATAGAGACTTCTTCGATTCCAGAATCTCCGTTTGCAGTTATGCTTTCCTTTTTGCTCTTTCTTCGTTTGAGCTTCTTGCTCTCTTTGGTGGGGGGTGCAGTGATGTCCGCCTTCTGTCTACTTGCTCGACCTCCCATCTTTTAGATAAACTAAAAAAAAAAAAAATATTGTAATAATCTTTAAAAAAAAAAAAAAAAAGGAATAAAGACGTAGTGTGTGTCGTAAACAACTCTAAGAATATCCAAACTCATGTGACTATCTTGTAAAGCACCTGATGGTGCAGCTTTCCATTCTAGTTAGCAGAAACTGGTAAAAACAACGAACCCCCTTTTCAACTGAACCGAAATTGGAACAGAAAACTCGGTTTCTCTCGCCCACCCCGATCTATATATATTTACTAAATGTACATTTTTCGAAGTTTCAAGGTCTCGCATGGCCCATGCCAAGTTAATATCCGCGTCAGTGGAGTGAGGCGTAATTGGAATATAGCGTTACTAATTTTCTAAACTTCTCCCTCCCTCTCTCTGGTCGTCGTCGTCGATCGAAAACCATTTTGTTATTTCCTGTCCGTCAGCGGATGACTCAACGCCGAGGGGGTGCAGCTGGTCGAATCATCAAGATCCATCTAGCATACACACCCCCGCCCTAGCCCCGGGTCTCCTCTCCCCCTTTGTCCGAGCTGTCACGTGATCCGGCCAGGTAATGCCGAGAAGCTCCCCACGAACGCAATTTAGGAGATTTTCTTTCAAGAGCGGAGGGTAAAAATTTGAGCACGGAGCAGCTGCGCCCCTTTTTTGCGATGTCAAAATCCGCTTTTAGAGAAGCGAAAGAGACCTGCTTGGAAAAATATTTACGAGGGAAATATTTTGGACGAAATCCAGATAAATCGGGACGAGAAGGAAAAAGACGAGAGGGGGGTTGGTTGTGTTGTGAACCGGGAGGCGAAGAGGGAAAGTTATTTGGCCTTGCACCATACTTAACCCGCGTCGAGAGGGAAAGAGACAAGTTAACTGAACAAATAATTTCGAAAAAGTCTTGGAATTTCACGTTTCGGAAGGCCTACACGGCCACGGAGTTTTTAATCCCTTAATTACACGGCAATTCTGGGGAAATTTCTGATATTCGTCGCTCTAAAAAAAAAAAAGGAAAAAATCCCGAATCGGGGGAGGGTTGTATGAACTCTTGAATTTTTCTCGGGGAATTTAAAGGGTCTCCTTACAACCGGTCCAAGTCGCCTCTTCCAAGTACAGACGACCAGACGCTAAGGAGGGGATCCTTTTGGGTAGCTGGTCTTGTGGTCTTTAAAAACAAAACCCTTTAACGTAGGCTTCCCGGCATCGGGAATTTTTCCAAAAAAATTCCCGGCGCCGTTCGCGTCGAAGGACGAGAATTCTCGAGATTCCAAACTCCTCCGTAACAGAAATGTAGAAAGAGGGGGGAACCTTCCTTCAGTAGACGAAACGGGTCAACGTTCGACTCCCCTCCCGAAGCCAGCACGTGCGCGAGGCCCGGTCACGTGATCGGCAGATGGCCTGGTTTCAGTCATCAAGGACAAAGGCCGGGTGTATGCCAAATGCAGTTTCCGATAAGCTCCACTGCAATTTACAACGCTCGAATTTTTCTTATAAAATTATTAAATAAAGCCATAATTAAAGATTAGGATAATTAGGGATACTTAGGGAATTTTTCTCGTCTTGGAATAACCCTTTTTTACATTAGTGTCATCATAAAAGCGAAACGTTTTTAATGAAGGAAATTTTTACCAAATTTCCTTTTTTTTTTTAACGAACATTAGACATTTCTGATTACGGACGGAAGTTTAATGACATTTCAGTTTAGCAATAACAACGAGAAAAAGAAAAAAAACTAGTGAGAATCAATAATTGCAAAAACTTTCAATTAAAAAAAATTTCCCTAACATTCCCCGAAGGTTTACGTAATTACCCTACAGGCGTTTGGTTTCCAAACTCCAAATATGTTATTAACGACAATTTAGTTTTTTTTTTATTCGAACTTTTCAATGAAAGTCGTAGGTAGTTCGTTAATCAGAAGAGATGAATTAACTTGACTTATATTCAAGTCAAACAAGGCAGAGACGACAAAACAACTTTAAACAATCCCCAATTACTATAATTAAGTCAAGAATTTCCGCTTTTAATTTACTCGAGATTCTTGGCTGACAAGTCTATAAATTACCTCGGAGCAGCCAAAACGGATAATTTCCCGAGTCTATCTTCTATTTCGCTTTAATTTCCCCCGAAAGATATCGGTTTTAGGGGGAAAAAATTCAAATTCAGTATTGCAATTAGCCGCTAGAGGCGCCTCTAAAAAAGAACTACACAACGAAATACGTAGTAGTCTTTTTTTTTCTTTGTAGTACAAATGAGATTTTTTTTTGCCATTAAACGTACCGGTTTTCGCCTAATGAGGTTCTTTTACGTGCTTACTTGCTCGGAAAGTAGTGGAAAGGAACACTTCTTACTCTTTGCTGCCACCGCAGTTTGTTTTGAACCGTTTATAGCTAACACACCTCGTTCCGCTATGTCGACCAACCATTCAGTAAAAAGGGAAAAAAACTTAAAAACGGGGAAGTAAACGGTTTCCGTCAATATTCCTGTCCGTTAAATTTACATAAAGTGTTCGAAAACGGCTTCTAGAGCAGTGCGATTGCCGGGTTTTCGAACTCAGATTTGGATGCGTTGTTATCGGGATTCGCGTGTTCTTAGCATTACGTTACTTCATGATTTCGGAGAACGTTCAGGGCACGCCATGCCAAATTCTCCCGTTTTAGCGAACTTACCAACAAGAGGGCGACGGATTTCAGGCGGAGTATGTCGAACGTTTACATTCCATTCTGTTATAAGCAGTCGGTATAACTCGAGGTCAACACCTCTCTCCGTACAGTCAAGGTCACGTTATTCGAAGAACTCGGCGCGTTTGCGTTCGGATGTCAAAGTGAGCGTGGCGTTACGCGTCACTTCTAGTAACGGCAGGGTAATCGATAGCGCGACTATAGTTAATGACTCATAACACTCGATTTAACGCAATCGAATGACGTAACACGCACGCTCGCATAAAAATAATATAAGGTTCGAGCCGAAAATCGCCGCGAGCAAAAGCGCTCGATCGATGATCACGTGACTCACTCCTAGGGTAAGAGTGTAATGGATGACTCAAAGGGACTCATGCCAAAAGGGAAAGGAGAGTAAAAAAAACCCACCAGCCAATTAAATATGAGCCATAAAAGTGACAGCCATATTGCCGAAAGTCTATTATCTGCAAATATACGATATTTAATCGATTTCGTCTATGTTAGAGAAGGGATAAAGCCCCTAAAATAAGAGTCGAAGTACCCGTTTCTTTGGTTTATGGGAGACAGGTTAAGCCAGATCTCACCCTTTGTTAACCGGCAAAGAGATGGAGAGAAGGAAAAAAAATTACATGAATGAGACAAAGAGCCGGAGAAAAATCGATAGAAGAGACAAGAGAATGTCGGACACTAGGACTTACCTTTCGTTACGCGTAACGAACACAACACGTAACACACCGACCGCTTTTCACACTCCTAGCGAGAACCACACCAACCAAAAAAAAATTAATAAAACACATACAACACACAACACCGGACGAAGGATAGAAACGTCACTTAATACTATCCGTGAGGGGAACGAAAAGCCGTGTGCGAAGCAGTGACCTCCACCAGAAAACCAGCTTTTTCCCGCGCTCCCCTCCCAATCCGTCCGATGAACACCCCCGTCTAGACAGTGGTGGCGGCCAGTCTAGGGTGTTACCATAGCAACCAGCAACCCTCTTTTACATACGTGCAAACGATTGTTACCTACCCGTCCCGAAATCGTACACTCGAGCACCCCGTACAAATTCGGAAAAAAATAAATGTAAAAATATTTAAAAATTCGTAAAAAAATTTAAACGTTTCGCAATGTATACAAAGACAAAAAAGACCGAATTATTATTATTATTTTTTAAATTTTTATTCTGTGTTTAAGTGTATTATATTGCCAGAGTGACATCACACAAGCGTCAATGTCCTCTTGGCGTTGCCAACCGTTTATCGATTCGTTCGTCCGCTTTTGTTTGCCTTCAATGCGATTTTATTATTGTTTGCGATTAATTAACGATCCCGTTATACGTTAACGGGACCGCAAAACGCGTCGCGAATGCGTTTCCGATCGCGGTATAGTTGTATTTACGATCCTTGTGTTCGTGAACGCGGTCGATGGGTTGATCGTGACACCTTTTCCCACTTCCCGGCTTAATCGATAAGAGAGACGCTGACCTACACTCCGAGCGGGTATTTATAGGTTCGCCATAGTAAATGGCGTTTCTTCCGAAATTATAGCTCGAAAGCGATCGATCGCGATCGAAAATAATTTTTTTCTCTCATCCTCATCGCAACTCTAACCCTTCTGCAACGCGATTCTCGATTACGTGACGCAGTTTATTGTTATATCTTCAGTGTCTCGCCTTACTCGTGCATTGTCTTTCGGATCGTATTCGAACTCGGAGTTTCGTGTTATTTGCAACTGTAAAGCGGATGCGTTAAGTGTAATTTAATCACGTATTTATAAAAGTGAACTTCGAGCAGTTCCTAAATGCCGCGTGATGTCACAGTGGCCTTCTCAGATAATCTCACTTAATCTTTTAGTGTTATCTAATGAATTGCGTTGACAGATAAAAGGATAATTTATGTGTTTAACGTTAATGTAGCGTAATTAATGTTAGTTCGCTTTCGAAATGACGCGACGCGACGCGACGAAATCCTAAATGTTTAGGCTCCGTTTCCGAACGCTCCACATCTATGAACGGACGACGAGAAAAAAATCACTAAAATGGGGTACGGCAGGGAGAAGGAACGGATTTTTTTTTTGTTTTTTACTGATTTTCTGGCGCCATTTAATGTAATTAAATGTGAAATTAAACCAGATTTAAATTTGCATTAACGATGAGTTACTAGAGTAAAGATTTACTTCCAAATAATCAGTACTTATAGTATAATAACAGTGTATTATAGTACTGACTACGTGATTGGTCATTTCGAACAACGCAAACGTTACGCGGTGGTGTTTGTACTGTACGTTAACATTTACGTTACACGATACGTAAACTATAGAATATATTATACCGAAACCTGAATGATCATATAATCGAACGCGTTAACAATCGCAAAAAAAAAAAAAAAATGAACGCGACGTTAGTATTAAACACGGTCATTCCGTTAAACTGGACGGTTGCCAAAAGTCGAAACGTTTACTCCATTGTATAGAGTCATCAACACGTTTCTAGTGTATAAATTTAGTGCCAACGAGGGTCAAAGTCCCGAAAATCGAAAGTCTAAAAATCCGAAATTCCTTAACGAGTCAATTCCGATTTTCTGGAGTCAAACAAGCCGTTTGTACTCTGACACTAATTAAGTCGAAAATCGCTACAAAGTAAACATCGCTCGCCAGATTAGCGATATAGTTAGAACGTGACATTGAATCGGCGTCCAAAAATCAATTTTTTTTTGTTTTTTAACGTCTCTCTTCTTAATTCGACATTAAACACGAACGGCGTAATATCGAGGGAGAATCGGGTTTAGTATTTTTTTGGCCTATAAAAAAAATAACGTAAACAACGCAGCACGAGGCTGAGGAACGAAACAAGATATTGTTTACATCCTGTCGGTCGAAAGTAATTACGAAAATAACGATTACAGTTATCAATATACAGGAAAAATATTTAGGATCGTTTACGTTTTCATCCTTGTTTTTAACTTCCTTGTTTGCATTCTTTCCTCATTTCGTTCGGATTTTGCAATAAACATCCTCCATTTTAAAACCATAAATATTTTAATTACGAAAAACCTAAAAAAAAAGTCATTTTAGTAGGGGGCGTTGTAAAATCCGTCTCTATCGTTGTCTGGCTGATGGGGAGAAAAATGGCACGTGCCTTGCCTCTTTAACTATATTTGGCATTTAAAGGGACAGAGGGCAGCTTGTAACACGAGAACTTTCCCTTTTTTTTTTTTCTTTTTTTTTTAACCAAAATTAATCACGGTTTTCTCGGTACATAAATGAAAGAAATGGTTCTTTCTACGAAATTTCGTCCTCACTTTCTAATTATAGACATTTTTATTGTTTGTATAGTTTAAATTTATATTGTTCTTATAACGGGGGACGTTACGGATGACGATTACGATAAGACATGATTCCAAAATTAGTACTAGTGCCAGAGACCCTGAACACGAATCACGTCAAGTCGTATGTGTGTCATTAAAAAAAAAATCCATTCAAAATTTTAAATTATCCAATAGGAACAAAGATAACAATATACAATTTACATAAATTTAAAAAATATACAAATATGTGATTGGATTTTTTTTTATCTTTTACATTTTAAAACGGTACCGAGAAAACATAATTTGCAATATTAAAATTCGCATATTTTAATTCCGATTCTCATCTAAACTCAGCAAAAATCTGTCACCATTTAATTTTTTTTTTTTTTTTTTTTTAAATAGCCAATCAGCAATCAATAGTTTATCTTCACGCCGATTGGTGTTTCGCAATTATTTTTAAATTTTCGAAACGTGATTGGTTAATTTCTTAATTCTCACTCAACGTAACAATTAAAATTCGTTGCGATGTAAAAAAAAACCTCCGAACATCTCGAAATAGCGCGATAACAAAAGATTCTTTATAGAATTTAGAATTTTTGAGTATTTATAAAAGTTATTTTAAAAATCTCGGAAAGTCCTTCACGCACTAAACAAATATAAACGAGAACAAAACACACTTTAAAGATCATCATCGATGTAATAACGAGGAGCGAGGTAGTCTACGGCAATTAAGGGATGTGGAACTTAAGTACAAACGCACTTGCGGGTTCTCATAGCTCTTTGTGTTAAGTAATTGCGTCAAAGACATTCCTAGATAAAGCGAAAAACAAGATTTTAAAGTTGGAGAACCACCAAAATAATACACTACTCCACTTCAACTCACTACTACTCTACTTGGCACTCACTCCACGATGACGATAATCGAAGCATTGACACCTTTATGTACCGACCGACTAATTAATTTACTTATTGACAAACTTCCAAACATTAATTGCGCATATTACTTTCCACTTTAATTAAATAAATCAAAATAAAAAAAAGGAAGACATTTTGGCAAAAATTTAAGCGGTTAAAAAGTGTCATAACCTTGAATGATAGGGTTTTTAAAAAAAGAAATTTTGGCAAAATTAAATTTATACTCTTTACAATTCAAAATAGTTACTGAGCGAAGGTCGGGTCGATTTTTTTTTTGCCCTTCTTGTGTTCGATTTAAATCGTTAATTGTTCGTTTACTTCGTACACAAGCGGATGTTGTTAATGCGTTTTATTGTACGTCACGACGTAAATTCAACCCTGCAAATGATGTTTATCGAACCAAACTGGTGAACAAACAGAGATGTTTCGTATAGAGTTACTGGGTGACAGGTGAAACCCCGCCAACATCGCCATCCAGTCGCGTAAACAAGTTATTAATGACTAAATACTGACTCAGCCATTACTGATCTGTATAAATAATTGCACGCACCACGTAAACTTTATTACATCGCCTTAAAGTATAAACTCGTAAAAACATTACAATTTAAACTAAATAATAACATCCAATCGCACTTAAAAAAAAACAAATCAATTGGATATTACGAATATTTAAATTTCATTTTCTCGCGTTTTTATTTCACGTAATAATTAAAATAACGTGACGTATACGAAATTAAAATGATGTAAAAGATTCAGAACCAATTACAGTCGTGCGCGATTCAAAAATTCGCACCGTCTATATGCTATTGGTTATCACGAAAGTTTGAATTTTAAATTCTCGCGTTTTCTTTATTACGTAACTTAAACGTAACAATTACAACGAGACGTGATGTAAATTATAATTAAAACACGCAGAAACTTCGACGCCATTTTGAATTTAGTAGAGAAACTTCATAAATTAAACAATAAACGTTCCGTAATCTGTTAAGGCCCATCCGTTACTGACACATTAAGCTTTATTTATGGCAAGTGTTTTAATTATAGAAGAGAGAGATAAGCTGCCAAGTAACGTTAAGGACGTTAGCATATGACAATACTCTTTGTAGATTCTCTTCCTCGTTTATAAACACGACCTTTAAAGAAAATAAACTTGGAAAACATTCTTTTGAGCAATAAAAATCGAAAATTAACTCGATTAGTCATTAAACAATTCTAAAAATCCTTCTTTGATTCAATGGGGACATTTCTTTATATTTTTATCAATTTTGACAAGAATAATGTAATTTAAAGGGAATAAAACATAGTTATCACCTCCTTTTTTTTAAATTTATAGCTTTAGGAAGTTATAATTGTTTTCCTTTTCATTAAAAACACATGACATGTTCCTTATATTTCATAAAATTTTATGATTCAGATTTATCAAGTAAATATATATATATATAATTTTTTTTGGTAGATTTCTGCTTGTTTTTATATTAATTTTTTCCACCTCACCTTGTAAATAAATGTGTTTACATTTTTTCATGTTTTTAGAATTATTCATTTGATAAATCATGGCGTAAATAATTGGTTTTCAGGACTTCTACCACACACCAAATCAATATTTTGTAACTGTTTTTTCATTCTTATCTGCAGAAAAAACACATTTAATTTTGATATAAGTGACTCACTATTATTGAAATGAATTGCTTAACCCATTGGCAAACTTCATCAGAGGATAGCAAATATAAAAATATCTCTTCCCAAATGCAATTCAAACTGCCATCCTGTGGACAGAAATGAACATTTATATACCATTTTAATTCTGACTTAACTGCATTTTAGACACAAGAATGTCATTAAAGTGTTCTTCTCCCCCTTACTAAACTAGTTAATAGCTTTATTAGGTTTTTAACAATATTTAAATTGGCAGATGGCCAATAATTGGGTTTGTTACATAATTGTAATAGAATAAGAGAAGTATTGAATGTCTAGCAGGATATGTAACATTAATTTAAACTAGAAATTATTCTTTAATCTCCATTCAGTTTCCTTTGCTGATATTTATTATTTTAACTGTTTCATTCATCGGTTTTGTAATGTGTGTTGACAGAATTTTCAACCCTTTGGCACTGATCCTATTTGTTGTTATCCTTTAAACAATAAGCAGTTTACAATTAGTTTTTGTTAGTGATCATTGTTTACTTATTAACATTAAACAATATCTAAGCATGTGACAACACCTATAATTCTATCATCCTGGTTCTGACAAAACTATTCTAGATAGCAACAATGTGAAATTTCAACTGTTATTCTTTACTTCATGGAAAAAAATGTCTAAAATTTTCTAAAAAAGTTTATTTTGTGTTTAAATTTGAGTAGACAAATTTTAAACATATTTGGCAGGATTATCACATCTGTTGTTAATGAGAAGTAACTGTTAGGTTATATCAGTGGCACACCTTGGAGATACAAGGAAGCAATTGCATCTCCTGCTAGTAATATCCATTTCTTTAACAATTGAAATTTGTTAAAGAGTAAAAGTAACCTAGTATAAGTCACTATCTATATATATAAATGACGATGTTTGTTCGCTATACATTCCTAGACTGTTCAACCAATTGCAACGAAACTCGGCGGTTACGTTTACATACTTCTAACTCGGAAAATGTCGTACATCACACTCCAAAATATCTACCGAATTTCTGTAAATCAATTAATTTCTATCTACATTTAATTTGCCGATTTACACGTATCGCCATCTATTGGAAAAAATTTAACAAAGTCATAAACTAAATATAATTCTTACAAAAAAGGATATAATTTAAAAAATATACATATTAATATTACTGCGACAGGTAGCATACAGCATTTGCCAGTCAGGCTTTTTCACTTCTGAATAATACTTTCTTAATATTCATAAGTGCCCTCCAGTATCGAATGGTAAAACCACGGAACACCGATAATTAGTAGTGAGGTTACGGCCGAAGTTTGTCGTGGGTTCGGGCATGGCCAACGTGCTGGCCACCTGTAGTTTTCCAGTTTTCTTCGCGTTAGTAACACCTAACGAGGAGCCACTTTTACATAAAAGTCTTCCCGTCCATTCTCCTCGGCTGATCACTCAAGTGTGGCGTTGCCCTAACAAAATAAAACCGAATTAATTCTAACAAGTGATTATTTATTGTGATATCGTCACAATTCTCTCAATTCTTTTACTGGCATCTTGCCCCTGCTCATCATACTTTTCCCATTAGCAATAGAGTCGTGCTGGCCATCTATCTAACTCTGTCAAGTGGGAACTTTTGAATCGAAGTAACGTGACTTCCTGTCCAAACCGGAAGTTCATATATAGTTAATCTGGATTTCCTACCCTAAGCTTTCCATATTTGGTTTCGATTTTCATCTATCTAACTCTTTTCTCGATATTACGGAAAGACAGACAGTGGAAATTTATAGGCCTACAGTTCTTTTTAACTGCAGCCCAATAATTTTTCTATAAACGCGATATTTACGAGAACATACTTCCCACGTAGTTGATACAATCGGTTGCAACAATATAAACACTTTCTTATCACATAAAAGCAATTAATCTCCGATTTTTACAAGTCTTATATAAAGTCTTTCAGACGTTAAGGTTAGCAACTTCAATCATGTGCCTGTATAACACGGATCACTTTTCAAATATTCATTAGTAGTCGTTGACCTCCTCTCGGAATACGAAAGGGGAAAATTATATTGTCCCCTTTCACATTCCGGGAAATGAGATTCATATGAAATCAGCCCTGACAAGAGGGATAATGTTGCTATAGCAATGGGCCCAATAACTAGTTTTCAAAGTAAATTTCTTTGTTTCTTCGCAAGGAAGGACCAAATAAAAAGATTGGCTGGTCAGATGGGGAAATGGGGTTACAGGAGCCAAAGACCTGAAAGTTTTACCAGGGCCCATCCTGTTTCCCATAGGGTTGTATGAAACTAATGACTCAGACCTGTGTGTGAGCAATTTGTTCAGGGATTTCATGTAATTATTATTAATATAACAGGATTCCACTGCTATAAACCAATCATATACAATAACATATACTGTAAATGCATAATTTGTATATTTTTGCATTGCAGTTTTATTCAAACAATAATTGATATTTCTTATTTTTTTAGTTGCACTCCCTTGCTAAAATTTCTGGCTAAACTTCTGGGTTTGATTACTTAATAAGAGGATTTTGTGTTGAGTAAATATGGAAGTATAGCCGTAGGTTTGGCAGAGATGAGAAAGAGCAAATAAACTGGTAACAAAAATGTGGCTGGCTCCTAACTATCAAATATCAGAACAATAGGTCATGTGGATACTCTTACTAAACAATTTATTTATTTACAAAAAGATACCCTGAGTCGAGACAGGAATCTTGACACATTACAGATACAAATGCATCCTGAATTTGCACCAAGTTTATAAATTAGTTTTGAGTTTCTCCAAAGAAGTAAACATCGGCACTTCTTTGCATTTTACACAAAATACATTGCAAAGTTGTACAATGTGATTTAGTATATTCTTAATTTATAGCTTGCCGTAAATTATAATAAATGTTTTCAGCTTTATAGCAGAAGAAAACTACTAAAGACTCAAAAATTTAATCCTTTTAAAACCTTTTTTTATTTTATTTTTCAGATCTCACCTTATTTTCCATCTTGGAAGTAAGACTACTGATAAAGAACATCCGAGAATTACATTGAAAACGTTAAACAAAAACTTTATGATATCAAAGCAATAACATACAATTTTATCTCACAGTAATCCTAGAAATATGTGGACTCAAATAAAAAGGAAATAAAAGAAGTGACACAAATAATTCTCATGTTGTTAGTTTCTAGAATTACAAGATTAGCTCAGATTTTATCAGTTCTATAATCAGCATTCTATTCTCTTGAAGTCATTATTTACTTATTTATCAAATACAGTGTACAAAAATATAATGTATTTAAAGATTTAAAACATTTAGATCTTATTAATGATATACTTTAATAATACTTAAAGGAAAGCTTTTAGGATTGAATCAATTAGGAAACATATGTATAATGTGTAGTTTTAATCTAAAAAAATGGAATTAATATTTATTTTCAGTCATGTAATTGCTGTAATGTTTCACTGTGTATAGTGAAATGATATGAGAATACATGCAAATGATGATTTTTTGAGAGAGAGAGAGAGGGAGGGAGAGAATCCTTTAAATGTAAAAAATTACATTACACATTCAGTTAATTAGCACAACTAATGCTAAAATAGCCTTTACCTTTCTTTATTGGCTTCATAACTACTTGAAAATGCTCAAATTATTCTTAAAAAAATCACCATTCACAGATGATGTTTTCACCATGAAATTTCAAAATGATTTTTGGATGTATAATGTGGTTTTTATATTTAAAAAACTGTTTTGTTTTTAATTTTTAAATGAAAATAATCTAAATATAGAAATTGTTTAGACAGATGAACTTTTAGTTAAACTTACATGTAGCTTTAACAAATCTTCCTCCTTCATAATCCAATGATGATCTTAGTTTTATTTCAATTACTTGAGTGAGGGTGCAGAACTTATAATTACTTAAAATAGTACAAAATTTGATAAGTGGAAAGTTTATTATTTACTTAAAAAAATAAAATTAAAATAATATAATGAAAATTCAATTAAATTTATTTAATTAAGAATGAGACATTCTTAATTAAATTTTCATTTATTTAATTTTCATTACACGAGTTCTGAAATAAATACATTGTCGTATACACTAAATTTTTACAGATTCATTTTTCTTCTATTTCGGTGTTCGATGCCGTCTCTACATACTCCAATTTCTGATAAAAGAAAATAAGAATGTATAAAAATCTCCCGAAACAAAAAAATTTATTATAAGACGTACATTTATGCTTCATTCTCTTTGAAATTTGCAATTAAAACAAAAAATTTACAGTAATAAAATACCTTTAATGCCAAGCAAAGTTTCTGGCATTCAATGCACATTCTACAGATGCTCCAAAATGGCTTAAAAAAAGACTTTTATCTATGATTTTGATTCTACCATAATTATACACTCAAAATTAAATAATAACAGTAAAATAACACTTCACCACATACTCTGTTGAAAATGTAAATGACTGCACGTTGTTTATTGCCTTAACAAATTAATTACTTCCACTTCCACCGATGCTAATGATACATCTTTACACAAGTTAAAGAACTCAAAAGTTTATTTTATATATAAATAACTCCCACTTAAAACTGATTAGTTTAGTTTATTCTTGACTGTATAAACACTAGCATATCATCTTTGTGTGTTGGTTAATGGTTGATTGGATTGAAGAAAACTTGTTTTTTTTTTCTTGTTGTAATTAAATTTGTTATATATATTTTTCAAAGTTTTTACTGGAAGCAGATAACACTCAGCAAGCAGCAGTCTTTCACTGTTTTGTATATCAACTAAATGTAACATAATATGTGCTGATAGTATGTTGTATATAGAATCAGACTTGTATCAGCTACAAGGTGGCTAATCCCCCTTCAGCTTAGTTGGTGGTGCCCACGTACAATACATATAACATGCTTTCACTTTCAATATGTAAACTTAGGTTACTGTTACTTATTTTTACACTTAAACAATAGCTAATAGGCCTAGTGCTGGCTGAAAAAAAGAAAAATGCTGGTTACAATTTTTTTGGTTTGCTCCTCTAGCCTCTCAATGATTTATTCCTGGGGAAGAGACTATGGTGTGTAACAGAACTTGGTGCTAATATTTTAGGGATTGATTCTAAGGTAATAAAAAAACCCTCTAAAATCCTTTATAAAGTTTTTCAAAATCTGCTTTGTTTTTGTGATATGGCCTGCCAAAAATGATATTTTTTATTTTAAATTCCTTATTCTAGAGTTGATATAGAGTTGATCTATATCAACTCCATATCAATTTCTCATTCTAGAGCTGATCCTCTATAGAGGATTTGTCTTATTTTTAGCCTTAGATTATACCCCTAAAATATTGACACGGAGTTTAGTTACACCCTGTATAATTCGTATTTGCATATTGTTGTTTCATTATTATTCAACAGTGGCCAAGTAAATAAAACCACTAAATACTGGTGGTTGCTTGTGGGTTCTCACCTCAACATGCTGGCCACATGGTGTTTTCTGGGTTTTTATTGCATTCACAACATCTAAATAGGTGCAGTTTTGTACAGAAAGTCCACCCAAGAGATACCCTTCAGCAGATTGCCCATGTCATGTTGCAGTATACAACTAAACATTATCTAACAAAGTAAAGAATAGTTTATACAAAATAATTTTTAAATATATCTTTTCTCACTTTTTTGGTGTTATACTTTATTAGAAGTTGATAAATTGATATATTATATGGNACATTATCTAACAAAGTAAAGAATAGTTTATACAAAATAATTTTTAAATATATCTTTTCTCACTTTTTTGGTGTTATACTTTATTAGAAGTTGATAAATTGATATATTATATGGCATTTATGAGGTGAAACGTATTAACATGTTTATGCATTTTTATGGTACTGGAATATAAAAACATTAGCACTTTGATGCTTACCTTGGTCTTTATGGGTAATGGGAAATCATAATTCAATTCTGGAGAAGGAACCTGGCTACCACATCCAGGAAAGGTAGCAGCCATGCAAATTACCCACTCCTGTCATGGGATAGTAGTGGGAAAAAAATAACAATAAGTGACTCAATTGAGGCCCATAACCTTCCATGACTCTCACCTCTATAGCTGTACAACCAAATTACTTGATATCATTAATTATTAGTTTAATCAAAATATAGTCTGAGAGAATCAAGTATTTTAAAAATTTGATTAACAATATTTTGACCATATTTGTACAAATAATTATTATATAATGTACAAATAACATTATATAATAATTTAATTAAAAATTATTTGACATTATGAAGTACTTGACACAAGTATGAGGCAAGCATTAGAACTATCAATTTATTAATTTTGGCTAATTGTTTTAGATATGAATATTTTTAATAATTAAATGATTAGATTGATTGTTATGTCCTGACAAAACATTTTCAAGTTAGCAAATTAATTTTGTGTAGTAATTTTTAAATTATTTTATTTAAATCAAGAGAAAATATAGCATTACTTGTATATATAACTGCTCATTCTGTACTGGAATAAGAACAAAATGACTTCAATTTAAAAGGACAAGAGTTTGAAAGTCAAAGTAACAAAATGTGCCACAAGTGACAGTCCCTTNTAATTTTTAAATTATTTTATTTAAATCAAGAGAAAATATAGCATTACTTGTATATATAACTGCTCATTCTGTACTGGAATAAGAACAAAATGACTTCAATTTAAAAGGACAAGAGTTTGAAAGTCAAAGTAACAAAATGTGCCACAAGTGACAGTCCCTTTGCTGTTGTCTGTCAAGTTTATACTCATTTGTAACAGAGCAGGAGGGGATCAAATGGACCGTAAATATAGACAGTGGGTGGGGTGCGGATGATGGAGTTTGTGGTTCGTTTAAGATGTAGTTGTAATGCACTGTCTTTGATAAATTTAGAAACAAAATGAATTTTAAGAATTTCTCACCAAATACAATGATTTTCTTATATATATATATATATTTTTAAATAAAATGTGTAAAGGAATGTTCAAACAACATTTACACAAAAAATTCAAATGACTGAATTTGAAATTATTGAAAGTAAGAATAATTTACATTAAAATTCTCTCACTCTTGATCTGAATGCCAAACTCAACTAAGGAAACTTTTTGTAGTTTGTAAACCTACAAAGATTCATTACAATGAAAGTAAAAGAGTGGTAATCGATGAATTGGCAAAACATCTGATAATGTCACAAATATTAAAAAAATTCAAAATTTTCAGTATTTATTCATAGAATTTTATTTTAAATTCTAACTTATTTTCATTAAAAAGCTGACAACTGTCACAACTGTGATTGTACTATTGTATTTTGTGAAATTTACCTACACAAATTCCCATATTTGTCTTCATTTGATTCCATTTTATAACTAAAAAATAAGTTATAAGAATTTCAAAAGAGAGAGTACTTCATATGTGTCATATCAATCCTAAAAATGAAGTATACTAAAAGCATATCTGACCAAATATCAAATTGATATATAAACTTGTAATCAGACAATTATTATTTATTCTTTTTTTTTTTTTTTGAATATTCTGGTCTAGGGATTCTTAGAAAATATTTTTCTGCGGCCAGGTGTAGCCACACTAAATATTTATTACAACAATTTATTTAATATGTCTTGAATATTGAATAAAATCTTGAATAGTGCAACATAACAGTGGTCTGTCAAGAGATTATGCCCCAAGGAGTACTTTCTATGAAAAACCAATGCGTATTTAGGTGTCAGACATGTGAAGCTCTGGAAAACTCCTAGCAGACAGCCTGTCAATCAGACATATTTTACATCATAGCACTTCTTTCAGCATATTAAAATAAGAAAAAAATGAATTCCGTTAGCATTTTGTAATTCTTATTAGAAATTTGTTTAATTGTCTATCTTCAAGCAATGAATTTTTTTGTATAAAATATGATACTTAACCAAGAATTTATGGCATTTTCAGAAATTAATTTATTGTTTTTTTGGCATTAATAATATAAAGTTTATCGATAATAATAATCACTGAAAGTGTGTATTGCTTCCATAATTTTGCAACTGAAGATTTATAAGCATTCAAACAGTACTCAATAAAGTATATCATTTGATTTTTTCAAGTAGTCTCTTCACTGAAAAAAAAAAAAAAAAAGTCAGTGTATCACTGTTGAGTGTGATTATACATTTGCAACAAAATACATGTTGCAAATTGTTATCAATTTTTCTGCATTTTTATTTAAGGAAGATTTTATTCATTGTCATAATTTAAAATTTATGCAAAAATAATTAAAGGTCTATTGGAAGGAAGATTGTAATGAGCTTTCTGCCAATTTGGTGGTCTTTTAGAATTTGATTCAACAGCATGTAATGGAATGTAAAAATGCATCCATAATATAATCAAGATCATCATGCTGTGAATTGATGGAGAAGAAATATCTGTAAATAAGCAGCTTTGTTCCTTATCATTATAGATAGTAATTTTTAATATTTTTTTTTCAGACACTATAGTAATTTTTAATATTTTTTTTACTAAACAAACATATCATTTTATAAATTTACCTTGGGTTGATTAGATGGAGATTCAATCTGTATTGTCACGGGTCCTTCATTCTTTAGTTCGACATTCATGAAAGCCCCAAATTTTCCATCTGTAAATAAAAATAAGTTTGACAGATTACAATGCAGACAAAATATATAGTTATTGAGCCATAATGTAGAGAAAGTAAAAGCATCGTTTATGAATTATCAGCACTAAAATGAAAATTATATTCAGATTTATTTTTCATAAATATCATGATCGTGAATCATTAAAAACCAAATAAATAAGTAAGATTACAGTTTACAATGTTGAAGGTTAAATACAAAAAAACATGTTTTGACGTATTCAGAACGTCCATTCACAATCATCAGAACACAATTAAATTACAAGCAAGAGGGAAATCTTGATTCTTGTTGTTAAAAATGTCCCTTTGATGTTCTGGTAATCTAATAACTAATTCATTTTCAAATACTTTTTGAAATATAGTAATGATTCATGATTATGTAAGTTACATATTTAAAATAAGCAAAATTTTAAATTTTAACTTTGTTCTTTAATGATTTGCATTTTAATGCCTCAAATATAAAACTTTTATAAAAAATTTGGATATTCAGAATAATGCACCTTTGACAAGTTCAGGTTTATAAGAATTCTTTAGCCGTTCCACAAATTCTTCATAAAATGGCTGGGATCTGTCCGGTGCCATCGATAGATGGAAATCAGGTTTGTTACCTTTTAACGTGCAGTATAAAGTAAACTGTAAATATAAATATAAAATTTAAATGACATAATACCTTGTGAAATACCAAATTATTTCTCAAACTGGGATAAAAATCCAGAACTCTTCAAATTATTTTATCTATAAAACTGTCTTTTACAAATTTCAGTTACAAAATTACAAGAGTTTAAATCAATAACACCAATATTCAGCTTCTTTATGAAACTCACAAAAGATATTAACCTTTAATAATTACAGTGAAACCTGCTAATATGACCACTGAAGAGACCAGCTCAAAGTGGTCATCTTACACAGGTTGACACATTAGCAGGTTTTACTGTATATATACATAAGAAAGTTTAAGAAATAGTATTTAAAAACTAATTTCTTCATTTATCTTATTTTAAAAGGGCTTGAGATACAAAATATAAAAGGAAGATATCAAACTGATATTGTAGGACAGGCTATAATTAAAAAGTGCAAATTTTAAGAGGCTATAATTCTTAATAGATAAATACTGGTGTCCCATGTAAATTAGCTCCCATTGGAAATGATATAGATGAATTTAAGCAAAGAACACTCATTAGAAACTTTATATTAACATTACTTAAACATACAGAAACTTACAGATGATGACGGTGATGGTAAAAGTGATGTTCTTGTGCATCTACTAGTAATAATGTTCAACCAGATCCATAGCTTTGGGGGGCAATAAGACAGTTAAGCCACTCAGCTTAGTCGGTAGAGCCCATATGCAGTATATATAATATATGCTTCTGTTTTCATTATGTAAACTTAAGTCTACTGTTATTGATTGTAAACTTAGACTACTCTTTTTACAAACTAGTGTTGGCTGGAAAAATAAAAATACTGGTCACAATTTTTTCAATTTACCCTCTAACCCACAATGATTTATTCCTGGCTATGGAATTGTTCTTACTGATCTTACAGAAAACAGCCTATTGATGGTGACAGCCTCAATGCTTCTGTGGATGCTTTCCTTCAGTAAAACACAATTCCATGATTGGTCTTATACACTTTTCCTTTTTAAATATCCCCTATAAAGTTCTCATCACTAATGTTTCATCAGTTTAAATTTCCTTATAAAATTTACATCACTAATATTTTGTTATCTCAATTGAGCTGATTTTAAATAGGACAACCTGTATGTAAGTTATATCTTCTATATATATAAAAATGAATGTATGTCTGTGTGTATGTCCTTCATGCATTACCACACCATTTATCCGATTGCCACGAAGCTTTAGGAAGTTTTTTAATACACTCCTGCGAAGGTTTCTTGCATAGTACATTTACCCTACGATATATGGCGCGCGTGTATACGAGCATTTTACTGTGTGTTTGATCGATTTCAAATTGTGAAGACCATTTCCCCCCTCCAAAAAATATCTCTATATATGCATTTGTTATTTACGATATTTGTAATAATTTTGTTTAATCACTTTATTTCAACTTTTTTTTTGCTAATTATGTATTCGCTCGAACTTTGTTAAAACCTTAACTGTACCCCGAACAACAACCGAAGTTGTAGAAGGAAATTCGCCTATTTTACCGATCTAGGGATCCCCCCTTTTCCAAATTTTAATATCAACTCAAAATAATTTAAAAAGACAAATTACAATAAAACAGTTTATTATCCAACTATCAGAAATTTCACAACATGCCAAGGAAGAGAGGAAGGAAAATTATAAAGGATTTTAAAAAATATATAAAAATGGGGAATACCACACTTCTAACAATCTCTGCGAGTATGTGGGCTAAATTTAAAGAATCCGTGCTTCTCACATGTACAACTGTATGTGGCCAGCTCACGCGCCAGAAAACCTTCCAATTTATTCGTGTATGCACCAGACGGAAAAACAAAACATATCATGTATCCAAAAGCACTCAAATAAATAAATAAAATTGAAACAACGCTTTGAAATGTTTTCCCAATGAAAATGAATAATAATAAGTTTCAATAAAAATGATAAAATGTAAATTTAATTTTATCATAACGAGTTTGCTTGAATTTCGTTTCTTCTGAGATCGCAGCAATGCGCAACGGGTAAGCTAACCTAATCTTAAACACATTATTTGGAATGTTTAAAAAAATTACGTGTGTATACAAGAGTTCTAAGAACTTACATGTTTAACTTCATATCAAAAAATTAACTTTTTCCAAGTCTTATGAACCTTTATCAACCTCAATCAATCATAAGGCACAATAGTTAAGCATTTCATTTGTTTTTCCATGAATAGCAATAAACTTTCACATTAAATTATGTACAGAAGAAATACATAATAATTAATGATTGTATTCAAAGAATAATTATTTTGGGAGTTTGTAACCATTAGAACATAATGCTCCAAAGATTAACACCTAAGGGTGATCCTTAATCTTTGGGCATAAAGTGTTCCAAAAAAGTATTGAGCAATAGAGCTGCATGTTATGAAAAGGCCTCTAATTGCAGAGAGCTTAACAGAAAAATTTTAAATCTCTTATTAACGTAAGAAAGTATTCTTTTCTCACATAAAATATTAATTAAATTATGAAAAACCGTGAGGCATGTTTTTAAACTATGCACTTTGGGTTTTCATTTTCACACTTATGTAATAAATATTAATTAAATTATGAACAACCGTGAGGCATGTTTTTAAACTATGCACTTTGGGTTTTCATTTTCACACTTATGTAATAAATTTTGAGTATATTAAAATTGTTTTCACTTTGATCCCTGAGAGTTTGGCCCATCATTGGTCTGATAAGCCCTCACTATTATCTGCCTCACGGTTTTTGATAATTTAATTAATATAATTATATCAAGGGCTAGAAAAAACCTTCGTAATAATTTCGTCTNAAACCGTAAAACAGACAATAAAAATTTATTTTTATAGATGATTTTGATGTTATCAAAACCAAAACTGGCCAATAGTGCCATTGCAACAGCTGAAAAATGTATAAAAGCACACAGTCAGTAAATTAAAAGTGTAAATTGCTAAAAGATGAATGTGTGAACCTAAAGAATATACATGAATGCCTGAGGTAGTCCTTAGGTTCAGGCTTTCATGTATATTCCTTAATTAATTGACTTTGACCAATGTAGTAACAAGAATTTTGTTTAGACCATTTCAATAATTATTTCACAATGAGACATTTGTAACTTCCTTGGTCTGTACTGTTAATTATATTGCAATTTATATAATTAATGTAATGTATAATGCAATTCGTCAATAAAATCAAATATAGACTTATTTTGATTTTATAATTTTTGTCATGCAATTTCTTATAATGTAATTAAAATTACCTGACTGACACAAAGGATTTCATACTGCTTGTCCTTTACACTGTGGCTCCAACGCTTTCCATTATCGTCTTCAAATATCCTTAAATTTAACAATTTTCTCACCCTGAAATATTTTCAGAAACTTATAAATTTATTTAAAATATGATGATAAAAACACAATAAAAAATTGAAAATTAAATGCGATAAAGACAATCATTTCAGTTTGTTTTTTAAAAATTATAGTAGAGTCATCACTTAATAATGTTGATGGTTTCTTTGTCAATAAATTTAATTTTGTATGTAAACAAATCTGCAGTTATAAATAATAAATGCTGTATTTATTCTATCTATTCAACAGATTTCTTGGAAATTAAGACATTAAACAACTTAAATTTTTTAAGTTATAACAGATGCAGTCTCTTACATCATCTCACTTTTGCATTGTAAATGGTGATACAAAGTGGCAAATAGGGCCACCGGGAAATCAGAAAATTTCCAGAGAAACCAGAAGGATCAGTCTCTCTATATTCATAGGCACTGGCACCATCAATATGTTTCCCATGCTGCTTGAACATCAGCATGGGAAACATATTGAACATTGTAGTTGCCAATAATTCTGCCCATTACTGATAGACTTAGCTTCTTATTGAGTGTTGGATCCACATTTAACATCAGATTAGTACAGGTGTTGAATAGGAATACCTACCAGTATTGCCTTGATAAAGTTTGGAGTCTGATTTGAATCTTAATGCCCAAAGCAGTGTCCACTTGGTCAAAATATTCATTTGCATCTTTATATAAGTTAAGCAAATTAAAACAAGTCTTTCCCAATTTAAGAACTGACAATTCTGTAAGCAAATAACATTTCAATCAATTGTAAGCTGTCTTGTTTCTTTCAAATTAGTTATCGTAAACAATGTCTTAAGATGACGCTTATAAAAGGTAATCATCATCACAATCTTAATGAAGATATTACACATCTCAATACAACAAAATCTATATGATGGCCATCTGAATGATTTTTATAAAGATACACTCTCCAAAATCTATTTCTTGTACTGTTGAATGACTCATAAAAGTTTAAAATAAAAATTGAAAATTCTCTAAATCATTCTTATTGTTCTCTACAAGCAAACTGAAAACATTTATACAGTATAAGACAGATTGCTGATGCAGAAATTGTTCATTGGTTGCATTCAATAGATTCAGCACCAAATGATGGATTTAGAAGATTAACAGCACAAAACCTTTCTCACTAATTTCTAGCCTTATTAACTGGAGTACAAACGTTTTCGGCCTTCTTAATAGGCCTTTCTCGGGTACACTGTGGAGCGTTGGTTAGAAGAAGTTTAAATGCTGCCAATGTTTACCCAGGCATCGTCTTACCAGTGACGTCATCGTCGATGATAGGTATACGATACCGAGGGCGAAAAATACAGACTTTTGGTAAAGAAGGGAGGTGTGCAGATAGGAAACTTGCTAAAGCTGGGGAAAAAGATTTAAGAGTAAGCGCGCTATGTACAGGAGATGCACAGTCACAACAGGGGGTTAGTGGGGAGTGACGTCATAGTTGAGGCTGTAAATATTCAACGCTACGGTAAGAAGAGGCGTGTGAACGACCGTGGATAGGGAGGGGGGGTTACGATTAGAAGGGGATGGGAAGGTGGTTACGATTAAAAGGTAGAATTGGAAATAAACACGACAAGTAAAAAGCGCTAACGGTTGCACGCAGTGAGGGTGGGATGGTCTATTTATTTCAAGGGGTTGTCGAAGAATGATTTCCAAGCGGAGGAGAGCGAGTCCGCATCTCTGCTGTTGATACATTGGCAGCATTTAAACTTCTTCTAACTGACGCTCCACAGTGTACCCGAGGAAGGCCTATTAAGAAGGCCGAAAACGTTTGTACTCCAGTTAATAAGGCTAGAAATTAGTGAGAAAGGTTTTGTGCTGTTAATCTTAGAAATAGTTCTTTCTACATATTCATAGTAGATGGATTTAGAGTTGAAGCAAGTGATTAGCAAATACTATAGATTCTGTTTGTATTCAGATTAAGTTGTTTTAGGAAAAACAAAGTTAGCACTTACAGTAGCAGTTGCAGATTTGTAAGTACATTATTGCCATAATGCACATTTTTATACTTTAAAAATTTACTTCACTGTGTTGTATGGATGCAGTCATCTATAAGTAGTTAAAGATATCAAAGGAAAGAAAGCATAAAAGAATTCTGCTACTAAATGTGATACTCAACATTGTTCAATGCATATAGGGGCATTCAATGGAAAAATAATCCTTCTGGAAATGTCAACTGTTCAGGTCCATCCAGAGAGAGAGAGAACTAGGGCCTAATACCCTAATAGCTTGGCAACGTTATCTGGCAAGCTATTAAGCCAACTTTATAACAATATATAGATTTCATTAAAAAATAATTGAAGTAATGCAAATAATGTGTAGTGCATTTAATTCTCACCGCGTATAGGAGTGCTTACCATCAAAAATGCTTACATGTATTCCAGGTCATCTCTCGTATCGACGCGTGTTATACCAACGAGCACGCATATCCCTTTTCCGATTGAGCTTATAATTTCTCCATTTACTGTAATAATAAATATTAAGTTTCTATAAATCAATTTTGTGTTAAATTCAAGAGCTTACCTTTAACGGCAGCTCCGGTTACTCGTTGCACAATAGCGCGCATTATTATTATTATCTTTTAATTTATATAAACTGCGCCGCTTAAATTTCAGCAAAGTTAGAAAAAGGGAATTATCGATTTAACGATCAAACTGCTCGCCATTTCCGCCGACCACGTGGTTAAGAACGGTAGCGCCACCTGATTTCTTTAAACCAAAAACACGACTATATATTTTTTTTAAATGATTTTATTTTAATGCCGAATCGTTTTAATACAAAATAAATTATATGTAAAAAACAAAATTTGTACAACTTAAAATATTATAGTTTTTTGATGAGGATAAACAGTCATTCATCACCATCATGGATGCCATCGATATCATCTTGCGATATACCAAGAACGGATAAGTCAAAGTCAACATTTCCTTTCTTAACTTGAAGTAAAAGTCGTTGATGATTGTGATCCACAGACCACATTTGTGGAAGATATTCAGGTTTCATTGTGTCCAGAAAGTGTTTTCTCCACCTACTTTCGAAAGCTATTAAACCCCCGTTCTTCGACACGTGTTCAACCACTTTTTGACCATGTGGTATATAATTCTGATTCTCAACCCTAAAATCGATAAAAATATATTGTAAATATCTCTTAAAATATTAGAAAAAGTCTATCCATTAATAAAAAATAATAAAATGAGAGAAATAAAAGATAAAATATCTATATATCACAAGCGAGAAATATCCTTGCTAACATAGACAGTTCTCGTCAATATAAACAAGATATAATAACGACATTTTTAATAGCGATTGATAAGTAAAAGTGATGCTTTTACCTTCGCTACAATTCACAACAAGCTTTTACCTTCTCAATCGAATTATCCACAAAAGATTTTTGTGGATAATCCGTCCGATATATCGGGACCCGTTCCTTTCCACCCAGCCACTTTATTGGGTCTGAAAAAAAACCTCTTAGTGCCCGTAGGAAAAAAAAATAGTGATTGATTATTTAAATTTTTCTGCAAATAATTTTATCTTTAAATAATTCCGTAAGCAAGAAAGCAATAATAAATCGCCATAAAATAAAAACAATGAACTTCCGTAAAGAAAACCATATCTTCAACCAATTAGAGTTAAGAAAACCATTTATCTAGCCAATCAGAGTTAGTGAGAGATAATTTAAATTATAAAAGTCTGTTTATACTTAAAGTTTAATACAATAAGACCTGCTTAACGCTGATTCGATATAACGCGGTCTACTCGAAGCCTAAAAATGCTCAAAATTTAGGCCGATTCAAATTATCGCGGCATTTCATTGATTCGTATATAGTATGATTATTTACGAACACGAACCAATCAGCAAAAGGTGGAAATTCTTCGAAGTGCTGTACTTTCCTTAAATCTATGTTTGTTTTGTGTAATTTTGGAAAAAATATAACATCATAGATGCCATACCAAATATTGACTTGGCATGGCAAGAATTAACTGATAAATGCATGAACGGAGCGTGGAAGAATTTATGGCTGAAGGTATCCAAGAATCTCAACGAGAAGAACCTACCGCTGTATCGTTAGATTGACAATTTGGTCAACTTAATTGATACAGCAGATGTAGACGAGAAGGATATTGAGAAGTTACCGCAGGTTTCTGGTGAGAGCCCTACCAACGACAACCTTCACAAACTGGCAGAAAAAGGAATTCATGTAGAACTGGAAAATAGTGATTCTGAAAACGAAGAACCCAAAGAATTTCTCTACAGATTTCCTTAATAAAAGTTTGGTAACGATAACCGAAATCGTTGATCAAACTGTAGCGAATGATCCAGATTTTGAAAGGAGTGCAAAAGCAAGACGAGCGTTTTGGATGCGATCTTCTGTTACAGACATTTGCTTAAAAAAAGAAAAAAGCGACAAGTGAAACTTTACGACTTTATTGCAAAAAAAAAAAAAAAAACAAGAATTTCAGAAAAGTCAGGACCTTCATCACAAAAAATTAACTTTACATTTCTGCGTGCATATGTTTATGTGTTATTTAACACATATTATGATGCAAATTAATATAAAAATAACTTAAAATTAAAGTAAAATCTCTTTATTTTTGGTCGGTCGAGTGTTCCCTTTTCCCTATTTACTCTATTTAAAATGGCCTCGTTTAACGTTGTTTCGTTTAGCGCTTTGTCGTCTAGGAACGTTAAACGGGTTCTTACTGTATTTAAATTTTTAATATTCGAAGAGAAAATTCACATTTTATCGCAAAATTATATATCAAATGAAAATTAAATTTACTTAGTATTCATATTCGCTGCTTCTTCTAAAATTTCGGGGGTGATTTCTTCCAACTCATAAAAAGTTTTGACCAAGCTCTCTAGCTCTATTTTTCGATTATTCGGGAGATTAGCTCCACTCCTGACCAATGCTCTATCAAAAATACATATAATCTTACTAATTCAATTTAAAAAATTAAATCATTGATAAACAGAAGAACTCACTTTGCAGCAGAATGAACCTTTAAACGAATTGGATCTGTTTGGAGTCTGATGTTATCTTGAGAACCCAGGGGAGCATCACATTCTTTTACAAGTTGTCTACGTAACTCTAGATCGTAAGCGTTACTTCTTTTATGGCAACTAACACATAGTAACAAGATGTCGTGAGACAAGTGATCTTTCATCAGATTTGGAAAATATCTGGAAAGAAAACATTATTTCATAAAATTTAATGATCATAATAGAGCTATAGGGTGATTTGTACAGAACAAAACACAAATATTTGATATAAGCAAGAGTGATGGACCAAGGTTCTTATTTCAGGAATCATTTGATTCATGATGTACTTGTATCTGGAGTGGCATTTGATGCATTCATTTTTCTGACAAAATTACAAATTCTATGTTTTGTGGAACGGTTGGATGATATGGAACTGACAAGAGATTATGTCCAGAAAAATATAGTATGATCTTGTTTTATGTGGGATTGTATGTGCATAAAATAAAATTCCTTATAAATTTATGTTCCACTGATTACCCAGACAATTATATAACTATCAACTATAATGAATAGCATTTTAGTCCAATATTTCTAAATATGTAGAGCATAGTTTATTAAGTAGTTTGTTGGTCAAGTGCAAACCTATGACCAACTATCAGTGTTTAATGGTTTTATTCATTCAGCCACTGATGGGATCATCAGCAGCTGAAGAAGCACGGTTTGCTGACTTCAAAATTAGCATATTTTTCAAGAAAAGCATGTGTTAAGGGGTTAAACAATTTTTAGAATGTCCAGTCAACAAAAAGAAAACAGTCTGTTGATTTCTTTTGTGAAGTTTTTCTTTAGAAATGAGTACATTGTAATAAGCCTGCACACTTAATGCATTGAAAGAAAACATCATAAGTAGAATCAGATAAACTGACAGGTGGATGCTAAGACATTCTCCTAAAAACATACAACAATATGTCTGATGCAAAATGGAGGACACTTCCACTTCATACAAGATCTCTTTTGGCACTTTCAGTATATAATAAGATAGAAGTGAACTCAAAGTTTTTACTTCCAGTCTATCATTTCTTGATTTATGGCTAAATATTTGGGTTTTGTTTTGTACGAATAATTCTGTATAAAAGTTATATCTTACTTTCTGTATTCATGAGGCACTATATTCTTTTTAATAAAAGAATTTGATTTTCCACAAACTACACAACAATTTTCTTTTTCGTGAGTGTAATAAACATTATCCAATATAGGTCTTCCGGCAGGTTCAAAGTTGAGACGAACAATTAAAGGGTCATCCTGTATTTTAACTTTTAAACAAAGTATGATTTAGTATAAAACTGTTTACTGTTTTCTATAATAATGTAAATAGAAAGGAACGTACTTGCCAAATTTTTACTCAAGTACCAATTGATTTTTTTGGTATTACATACACAAAGAGGCTCACCATCAGGTGCTTGCAATTGACAATTATGATAAAATGGTTTGTTGCGTGTGGAATAGCCTTTACTTTCATCAAATTTTCTCACTAATCCATCCTTACTTTGAGATGTCTGAAATTAAAATATTTAAAAAAAGAATAAAGAATATAGCACTGAATATAATACAGTATTTTTAAATTATAATATATAAATAACAACACGTGCCAGATACTAATAACGAAAGATATGTCTCTGAAATGCCAATAGACAGTTGTGGGCCTTATCTTTTGTTTTCAAAATATAGTATATTTACTAGAAAAACTGAATTTTAAACTATTAATATTCAATGTTAAAAGAATTTTCAATGAAAATCAAACCTTGACGTTAATAATTGATTTTTTAAATCCTCTTTTTTTCCTCAAAAAGTACAAAATAATATAGCTTAAAGATCAGCAAGATCTTTGTTTCATTAAATTTGTTGAATAAATTTAATTTTTGTATCTCTACAATCCAACAATTCTTTACTTTCTTCCTCCTACATAGGTTGGCTAGATGAATAAGATGTTGGTCATAGCTGTAGGCATCCAAGTTTGAATTCAAACTGCACACCAAAATTTACCAAGGAAAACATAGATCACAGTACAGTATTGTTGTTCATCCTTTATTCATCTTGATTGATCCAATTGTGAATCAATGCCAGTAATGGAAAAACAATTGGACATAAAGCTGTAATATGGTGATAACTTATATTAACAAATCGATCATTCTGTATAGAATATGAGAGAATTTAGAGTTCAATTTTTCATTAATATGCAATTTTGAAGTATTTGAAACATTATTTAAGTAATTTTGAGTTTATGCCTGTATCTCTTAATTTTATAGAATTGAAGACTAACTGTAAACCTATTATAATTGAGATAATCCACAAATAACCTCTAAGTTTTCTTTAGTTTGTATAGAAGTACATATAGTGTCTTCCAAAAAGAATTCTACCATTTCAAATTATTGTAATTATAGAATATTAATTATTCTCTGAGAATATCATAATGTACCTTAAAACATTGGAAAACCATCCAGGTTTTTACATTTGCCCATTTAAATTTCTCAATGTGTGCACCTCATGTCACATGGTGTATGTCTGACCAATACTCAAATTCTTCCTACACTCTCTATGACATGACATATCTGTCATCATTCTTCCCAAGACAGTCGCAATTCTTCAGCTCCCATAGGTTACTTGTGTTGCACAATGATGTGATTTTGACTTTGCAAGCTGCAGAACACAAAGTGCCTTCTCCAATATGAAGTTGCCATTTTCATTTATGGCGTATCCTAGAGATAGGTAACAACAAGACGTTTGAATGCACATGGGAGACAAAACTTGGATAGTTATTCTATTAATTGATATACCATACATGTACTATAGATTACATACTTCTTGGATAATAACCAACATAATTACAAAAATTTAAAATGGTAGCATTCATCTTGGAAGACTCCATATTTCAGTGAAGCAGTATCAGTAATCACTCAATCAGTAAAATTAACTGATTTATATAATGATTTATTTCAGGGTAGTTGCAAAAGCACTATAAAATATTATATTACATCTAAATTTAGATTGGACCACATTGTGTTGCAGTAGAATTTATTACAGAAAAAGCTGAAGCAGAATTTATAGTTTCAAATAAGTTTAATATATCCATATCTGCATACATTTGTATGCAGAACAATTCAATCCATCACTGACAATAACTAAATTTATTAATATATATCCTATAAAATTAATCTCTGAATGAAACTGTAAGGCAAGGGAAAAACTAAATAATTGCTTTTGTGTAAAATAAATTAAATAAGGATAGAGTTATTCAGCTAAATTAATCAATGCACCTTTAACAGAGGATAAGGTTAAAAAATGCTAACATTTTCATCTTCAGGTAGATAGTTGAAAATGCAATGCCAGTGTCATTAAGAAAAAAAGGGATGGTGATAATTCTTTCTTACTGTCACTAGCATTGCACTTTCAACTGTCTATGCCTGAAGACAGCTCATTAACCAAGTTGAAAATGCTAACAGAGTGTTCTTTAAACTTCACCCAAACGATACGTTGATTAATTCAACCCAATAAATTGAATAATGATGAATGAGAATAAATTAAAACATAAATCATTCTGAAGCAAAATCTAGAGACTAAATTATTATTTTTAAACTTTAAAATCTAAAAAAATTTATTTTTAAATTAAGTCATTTGTTATTCTCATAGTAATTTTCATAATTCCTTCTCATAATGATTCAAATGTACTACATAACATTTTTGTATATGAAAGTACAAATCGTTGATTAGAAACTACATAAAACGAATCATTCTAACATTGTTTGAGGAAAGAATCTCAATGTCATCCGGACTCTCATAATTTATTGTACCAATACGCAAGTTTTAAAAGTCTCATTTCTGTAGATGAAAATCTCTTCTTGTAATCATACTCCTCTATATAGATTCTAATTTTAGGATTGTAGAAGATTCTAAACAATTCTGGAGATATGAAGAGAAAGCACAAATAGCTTGAAAATGCTAAATCAGATACTATGGGCAGTGTTATGACTATATAGAAGAAGCATTGTTCCCAATATTGGCAGGGAAAAGTATTGACTTTTGAAGGGATGCATATATACTTCATCTAGTATAATGTTACAATATAACAGACTCTGTCCTATGGCATTAAAGCCAACATTTTATTCAAAATTGCAAGTATTTTTGATTGAATCAATCTGAAATTGTAAGTTATTAGAATCAAATAGAACAAGATTCCCAAACTATGAATATTATATATTTAAAACTTCAGAATATTATTAAAAAATTGAAACACTTTTTTATAATCTTCTGTAGTTTTAAATATATAATATTCATAGTTTGGGAATCTTGTTTGATTCAATTCAATTATATTTGAATCAGTCTGATGAGGATAGTTTTAAGCTATCAAAAGTACTTGCAATTTTGAATAAAATGTTGGTTTTAATGCCATAAGACAAAGTCTATTATATCATAACATTGTACTAGATTATTTGGGGTGTAAGGTGCAATTAATTTTCTTACATACTTTATTATAGATATATTCAGCATTTCTCTAACTCAAACGCAAGGCATTCCCGGTGTGCCTGCGAGGGATGCTTCCGAAGGTAGAAAAATCCTTCTTAGCTAAGTTAATCAGGAATAAACACAAGTGCCTCGTGGAAATGGAACTACAAACATATCAGACGCATCTGCAATTCTGTAAAGCGTGTGACCCTGCTACGCTATACATCAAATTAGGAAAAATACAGAGCATAGCATCTAATTCTACGCAGGTGATAAGAAAGAAATTAAGTAAAAACTTCAATGGTTAATGAGCTCGTCGCGCATACAAAGAAGGCTGGTAATAACCACTCCGTATTATAATTATACGGAAGAGGACGTGCCCGTCGAAGTGCATGGCATACTACAAAAGGGACCCAAATATATTTCCCCTCCTAATAATACCGATCTTAACCAGTTAGTCCCAGCAGCATTAGCAGCATTGAAGTCCTGCCAGGTAGCAGCCATGTACCCACAAATGGAGTTAGAAATCGTCACAAAGCTTGCGGTGGCGAAGCAAGTGTCCAGCGCGCCTAAGTACCACATAAACCACCAAGCAGTAAAGCAATTCCTAGTTACGAATAACTTGAGGCTTCTGGTTTCTGATAAGGATAAACGATTCGTTCTGTGCAAGGAGGACGATTTCATCTTTAGAGCCAATGAGTTCCTATCGCAATCACAATCACAGATGATAAATGATGATCCAACACCAACAGTACTGCGAAGGACAAAGAAAATAATAGCTTTACCAGGAGTAGCTTCGATTCTAACTGGCTGCCTTGATCCTCCCACCAACGTAGCATGCCCTAGGCTATTCTTTCAACCAAAAACGCACAAAGCAAACTGGCCGTTACGCCCACTAGTAAACAAGAGATCGCATCCTACATATTTCCTTGAAAAGGCGCTCGCAAAGTTTTTACATGAACTTCTTCCGGAATCACCATATGTTACCCCGTCGTCTATAGCTGCCAAGTCCACCATTGCTTCCAGCATGAGGGGTATGCATGAAGATTCCTATACTTTCTACAAGTTGGATGTGGTGTCCTTATATCCATCGGTATCTGTTTTTGAAGCCATAATGCTTGCTAACTCCTTGATCATCAAAAAGGGATTCAACATACAACAAGTGCTAGACATACGTAATGCGCTGACATTCATCACCGAGCACAATTATTTCTTTTTTAACAAGAGCATCTACTTGCAGAAACGAGGAGTTCCTATGGGCTCCCCACTATCCGCAGTCTTGGCCGAGCTCATTATGAGAGAAGTCGAGCATAGAATTTTCGACTCCCCTCTTACCATCAGTTATCCGTCGCTATACTTACGTTATGTCAACGATATCCTAATAATATGGGAGAATACAGAGGAAGAGTTTGTCAAATTTGTGCAGCAACTTTCAAGCATATACCCTACAATCAGTTTTACTTGGGAGAGGGAGCATGAGGATTCAATAGCGTTCCTGGATCTGTGTATACAAAAGTCAGTTGAGGGGCCGCAATTTGCTGTTCACCACAAATCAGACCTGTTACCGTATATTATCCCGGAAGATGCTTTCCAACTGTCGCAGTACATCAATGCCTCCATTGCTGCACTTGTTAGAAGAGCATTACTGCTTCCATCGACACAGCTAGCAACAAAAATGGAATTAGACATCATTAGAGTGGCGGTATCTCTTGCAGGATTTACATATGGCAAATATGAGCATGTGCTCCGTAAAGTAAAAGAGGCCCTATACCCATGTACCAGGCTGTACAGAAAGGAAAAAGCATCTGTGATCCAATCATCATTGCCGTATCTTGGACCAATCTCTATACGCGTCAGCCACATATTTCGACGACATAATTTCATACTACCCATAACCCCCCTACCAAACCTGCGCAGATGTATCTGCAACGACCGGGACAGGCTAACCACTTTAGAAAAGTCAGGGGTTTACAAGATNACATTTTACACTTAAAATTATGCATTATTGATGATATTTTCTATTTTGTTACTTAATTAATATTCAGTGACTCCAGTTTACCAGGGTTTTAAAAATTTTATATTATAAACATTTGGATTGAGGAACCATTACAAACGTATTGGGTCGCAGGAGCAAAAAGTTTGAGAAATGCAGAATATATTAATAATAAATAATTAGTTGTGATTATCCATTGTTCTTAGAGTAACTTTTATTGAAAAGCTTCTAGGATCAGTGATAAGAATTAAAGGAATGAGAATTGTTATGTCATGTCCCCAAGGAATAGGTTCTGTCTTTGTTCATGCATAGTGCTGGCATTTTTAATATGAGCACACTCTTTACTTTGTGAGTTACTGTAGATCATTTAGATTGATGCATCATTCCCCATTCTTTAACTGTGTCAATAAATAATACCTTCAAAGTCTTCAATACACCTGATAGTATAAAACAAATCTAATACAGTCAACTCACCTTAAAATAAACACCAATAAAGTGAATTTTGCCATTGTCACAATGTTATTTTTGTCCACTTTATTGCATAAAGTGAACAAAAATTTTGCAAGAATTTATTAAACTGAACTGTAAATTAACTTCACATTCCCGAAGAAATAACCCTATTTCCAATAATGATTTTATTATTCATGTCAAAAAGTGTAAAAAGCAAAATGGTATGGTAATAAATGTTCTATTTTGAGTAGAACAATTTTCTTCTCCTAGTAAGCAAAGACAAGTACAACCCCTGACTGTAGAGTAATTCAAACATCTGGTTTTAGCAGATCATTCTACTGTACTCAGAAAATAAGAATCAAAGTTTAAGGATGCCCATCCCTTTATATTCAGATGATGTGCCATGGAACACCAGCTGAAAATCACTGATATAAAGATGTTGCTGTGAGCACACTGGTGTGCTGCAAAAATTTCTGAAGGTTATTAGATAAATTATTTTCGAAAGGAGCCCAAAGAACAGTAAGTGTATATGTCAAAAGTAAAACCTCTTTAAATTGATTATACAAGTTTTTCATTGTTATAATAAATAAACGTATATTTAAATAAAAAATGTATCCATAATTGTCCATATTTAGTACAAATTATTTTAACAGAAATAGTGGGACATTGGGCAGGTTTCTAAAGGCAATTATCATGTCATTTTTAAATGCAAATCAAGACTATGTTAATTAAGTTCATAAGAAAAGCTTCTTGTGTAAATGAAAATTATTAATTTAATAACTATTGTAACCTGCTGCTATTTTAAAGAACAATAATAAAGTTTTATTTAATTCACAAAAAATATAGACAAAAAAAATTGGGTTAAGTGGCAAGTAATATGGCAATAAAGTTGTGTTTACAAACACAACTTTAGATCATGTGATTTTTTCTACAGAAATTTAATTATAGGTTCAACTGTATGAGATAAAAACGATTGAAAAACACTGCTTTATATGAATGTAGTCCGATGCAAACACATACTAGTTTGCTTATTAAGGGTGCATATAGTGATGCCAAGTTTGGGTCTTTTTTCTTTTAGCACCAAAAAATATTTTCTACTTTTTCAATCAATCTTCATCAGAAAAACATCACAGATTTCTTTTAGCTTTGGTTTGTTTAACAACTCTGACATACTGCTCCACACTTAAATGGCAAATACCGTCTTCTCTTCATTTTATTTGATTTGAAAATCATCTAGTAGATCATTAATTCAAAATATACTTCAGAGGATTTATCATCTAAGCCTTAACTTCATAAATTACACATCCTTGATTTTGACCCTGAAAATTGTTAATATGAATTTTCATTACAGCAAACTAACTACTGTTCTCATAGTGATTCGTATTAACGCGAGTTGACTGTATTGGTGTTTAGCTACAATGTATAGGTGCAAACAAATCAAAATTGCAATTCAGAATTAATTTATTTTAACCATCCAAACATTAATATAAACAAATTTTTAACAAAGTTAAAATTAAATAATGACTAACCATTGAAGAAGGTTTACTTTTATTTTTATATGGTAGATCAATAATATCAGAACAAATAAAGAGAGCCTCTTCATATAACATATCTGCTTCTGTCTTTGAACTTGAATGTTGTGGTAGGTTTTTTGACAACTTCCACCTCATTATCTCTTCAAATATTCGTGCAGAAACTATAGCATCTTGTGCAGCATATTTTACCTAGTTTATAAATACATAATTATATATACTACATTAAATTTTTTAGTTATATTATAATCAACAATATAAGAAAGAGTTCAATTTTACGAGCTCTATGNAAGATGTTCTACTGAGCTCGCTAAAAAAGTTCTCGAGCAAGGCTACAACCCGTTATGGTCCAGAACGGAAATAATTAAATGCTGCAACAATCAAAGGCTTGTGTTTATCTGGGAAGTGCTTCTCACGGCTACTTCAGAAGCGTGCAATGTTCCCACCCTCGATCTACCCGGGGTGTGGACTGCCTTATATCGGCGCCTAAAAAGCGAAACGCGCCTAACATCATATCGCCAATGCGGTAGCATTTCCACGCATGTGCCGCTAACATCGTAAAATATAAAAATTCGAACATATCAAAAATTATTTGCATGTTCTTAACGGAATTTCCGGATGCCTGTTTGAACTTAAATATTTTGTTTCTTTGGAACATCCTGCACGTTTGGCTTGTTAAAATTTGTTCTTTTCACCTGAAGACGGCGATTATACATTCGTCGAAAGTACTCGTGTTAATACTAAAGGAACTTTATTAACGCTGAACTCAGTGAATTTGTATCTATAAGTTATACAACATTGGCATGAGTTTTTAAATTTATTTTTATTTCTCTAACTATGGATTGCATTAAAATTTTAATGGGTTCATTAAGTTTATAAAAAAAAATAATTTGTAATATTTTTCAAAGTAAAATAGAGTCCTGAANGTGTAATGCATGCTGAAGTAAATTCATCTTCAATCTTTTCCCAATCTTCTAAGCAACTACAGATATAAATTTTATGATGCAAACCCTTTTTCCTTCTAAAAAATTTATATAGCAAGACAACACCTGTAATTAAATTTGTTATTAAGTCGTATACATTTTTATATTTTCTAAGCCATAATTATACTTTAATAACACAAAACAGGCATTATGTTAAGTGAGTATTGAGTCGCTAGCAAGAAATGCAAATGTGTTAGAAGTAAATTTTCATGAAAATAGACTCAAAATTACTTTTATAAAACAAAAAAATATGGAAAAGTTTATTAATTTTAACGATAATAAATCAAACCTATAACAGCTGTAGCTGTACTAAGAGAAAAGGCGAGTTTCTTCCAAGAAAACATAAACACGTGCTTTTCTAACCACGTTTTCAAACAAACAAACACCCCCTCGCGGATAAAAACATTTATACATTTATTAATTCAGATAATAAAATATTTAAATTTAAAAAATATTTTAAATATTTGTAAGAAAGTTTTATAAATTTGTCAGTTTTCGGACAAATGATTCATAAAGGTCATAAATTGCTGAAACTAAGCACAGGAAACATCCATCCTGTGTAGATTGCTAGACAGTTGATAAAATGTGTAGATCTGGGAGGATGCAACCTCATAAAAGGAAGTCGAACAAGTCAATGTTTCGGAAGATCACAGCTTTTTTCCGGAAAAACATTGGTTTAGATGTAGTCCGAGAGAAAATAAAATAGTTAAATGTTCACAGATAAATTGTAGCAACGAGCTGAAATGATGTCTAACTCGAGTTCTAACGCTACGATTCCGAAGATATGTAACCTGTCTGTTATGCTGTATGCTACAGCGGTTTTTACTATAATCATCACAATAATTGGAATTATTGGGAATTTGCTGACCATAATTGCGCTTTATAAGCATCCTCGAGTGAGAAAACATACGACATCCGCATTTATTATGAGCTTATCCATTGCAGATTTCTTATTCTGCTCCATTAATCTACCATTTAGTGCTTCAAGATTCATACACCATACTTGGATTCATGGAGATAGTTTGTGTATCGTTTTCCCCTTTTTGCGTTACGTTAACGTTGGCTTATCACTGTTATCCATAGCTGCCATCACTGTAAATCGTTACGTCTTCATCGTTCATCCATCTTGGTATGAGCGCATTTATCAGAAGAAATATATTTTCTCCATGATACTATCACTTTGGGTGTTTTCCATATCGTTGATGTTACCGACACTCTTTGGAAAATGGGGTCGATTCGGCTTCGACGAGAAGATCATGAACTGCTCCATTTTAGAAGTCAAAGGAAAATCTCCTAAAACTTTCTTGTTTATCTTCGGTTTTCTTTTGCCATGTATCGTCATAGTATTCTGCTACATCCGTATCTTCTGGGTGATTGTTAGAAGCAAAACTAGAGTCAGAAAGCACAGTACTTCAGATAGCAACGAACAAGTTAAAAAAGATCCCAAGAAGCAGCAAGATTGGAAAATCACCAAAATGGTTCTAATAATATTCTCTTCGTTTCTCATCTGTTACTTACCTATTACAATTATTAAGGTAAGTTTAAAATTAAGTAATTGTTAAGATAATTTAGCATTTAATCTACTAATTCGTTTCCTAAAATATTATAACAGGTGGCTGATAAAAGAGTGAAGTATCCCGCTTTGCACATCGTGAGTTACATTTTCTTATACATGAGCGCTTGCATCAATCCTCTCATCTATGGTGTGACTAACAAACATTACAGAAAAGCGTACAAAAGCATATTAATCTGGATGAAAGACGGAGTTTTGAGCGTCGGAACCAAGATATCCTCTTATACAAGTCAAGATAGTTCGACTCAAATGGGGACAGTCATGCATACTCTCAATTCAAAATCAGGAATTAACGGTGACGATTTGGTTAACAAAAACAACGAAAAAAATGCCAAAGCATGAAACCTGTGAAGAATGTGTGAAATTTTGGACATTGGACAATAACATAATTCTCTTGTATAATTGCAATTGAATAATTTGTATATTCAGCTCTTGTTTTGCAAGAAAATTGCCAATGAATGCCTTTAGTTATTTACATAACAGTACAAATTCTTGTATATAAGATATATTTTGTACTATTTTAACTTATATAAGTCTACTTTAGTTGAAGCATAGACTTAAGAATGTTAACATTTATATATTTTGTTATTACTTATACAGGCAATCCTTTAAATATGTAATCTTAAGATATGTTAAGTATAACACAAGAAAAATGATCGTAAAGATTAATTATAAATTTATAATGTATAATTTTTAAAATATTTACTAAGTTTAATTACAGGAAATAAATTTAAATGTTAAGAAAAATCGCATTCTTTTGTAATTATAAGGAAGTAAACATTTTACAACCACCTTTCCTTCCCGAGAATTACAGCTACATTTACATTATTTCCCTTTTCTAATGCAAATTGTAGGAAATTTTATGTTATGAATTTAACAAAACTTAGAATATAAATGGAAAAAATATAATTTTTACAAATACATTAATTTTTCAGGGATACCATATTAAAATTATTTAAATGGGTTACATATGATCCATTAAGATATACAAAGTTCGTAAATAAGAAATTATATTTTATATTTTAAATAATTTGTCAGAATTTTTGCAATTTGAAGCTTCTTGTGGCATAAATTTGAAATCCCACCGAGAGCCTACCAATGGCAAATTAGATAAAACCACTGAATACTGATCATGGGTCTGCTCCTCACTAATGGACTAACCATGCAAAGTTTTCCAGGATTTCTTGGCATATTTAGCACCTAAACAGGGGCCAGTTTTCTGAAGAGAGTCTTTTCGGAAGGCCCTCCCAGTAACGACTTTCTTCGGCACAATCTTTCTACACAGTGGCCCCGTCTGAGTGCACCACTATGTAGAAGGATGAATGAATGTAGTAAAATCGAGAAGGAACTGTGTTTAACGGATGTAACAATTTTCGCATCGCGATTCATTAATGTTAATTTATTTGAATTTTCGAGAATTGGTGCCTACTAGTGGCAGAGCGGATAAACCACTAAACACTGGTAGCTAGTCGCCGGTTTGCGCCACTTCAACGAGCTGGCCATGTGGAGTTTTTCGAGTTCTCTTCACGTTAATAACGCCTAAACAGGAGCAGTTCCTCATAAAAAAATTTCCGGGAGATATCCCACTTGGAAGATCGTTCATGTGTCGCGTTACTGTATATGAATAAACCAAACCGAAGATTGAAATTAGAAAATATACATAATAAATTAATTCTAATAGCGGTAGGAGAGCTCCAGGAAGTCTTATAGATGTGATCTTCCCGGATAATTCGGCCACCATCCCTCTCCACCAACCCGTCCCATTGTGGGCCTGGCAGAAACCATAACGAACAGGAAAAAAGCTATATTAATGCTCACAGAACGGAGGAAAAAAATTGCAAATTTAACTTGCTCATTTAAATTGCACAATAATTTAAATATGTAAATTGTTTACGTAATCCATCATTACAAAACGAATCTATTTTTTATAACAAATTTGCAATTTTTTCAACTCTGCTTTTAGTCATTTGCATAATTGAATGGGTTACATAAGCCGTATATTATGCTAAAAATGCCTACAAATGCAATATATATATTGTATATAATATATTATGTATTACATACTAGCAATGTGTGCCCGACGTTCGGGTTTTTGAGGGGGTGCGGAATTGAGAGAGTGTGATAAAACAATGGCCCTAGTAACTAAAACGTCATTTATTGACCTGAGTATTTATAATAATGAAACTGTAAAAAAGAAAAAATTGCTCTGTCTTTCAAAGATAGCAGGACAAAGATAAAAGATCATTCTCGTTCCATTGCATAACTTTAGTAATTCAAATTTCGCAAGACTATTAGTGTGCTCCAACCTACAGCTCTAGGTTATGAGGTGGTTGTGCAGCTAGATCCAAGGAATTTAAAAACTCTACTAGGTACAGTACATTCGGCAACGCATTTGTTTTTAGATGCGAATGTTGCTCTCTGGCATATCCATTTGTGGTTTATGTAGTGTTATCAAATTAGTATCCGGATCTTCAGTGAATTTGCCATTACCGAGACGCAAAAGTTTTTTAGCACACAGCAAACTTCTCTGCAGATTTGTCGCCTAATAGATGAACCCTCATCTAAAGAGAACTTTTTAACGTGATTTCACAGTAATGATAGAAGAGAAGGTGGTATTATGGAACACTGCGGGTATTATGGAACCACGCCATTTCGAACTGATAATAAAGGCGAACTGTAGCGGAATGTGGCTGAACTGAACTAGGCAGACATCCATAGCAAGGGGAAAACCCGTTTTACTTCAGTTAAACGGTTGTCCGTATTTAATATATAAATCGTGTAGTTGTAAGTTCACTGGTGCATGTATTCCGTTCCAGAGACTTAGGGGTACATATTAATCTGTGTGATTTTCACGTTTTTAAAGTTTGGTGCCGACAGGAATTAAGTTAACCCAAGATGGAGATGCGTGAAATATGGACCCCATTGGTGCTTTTAATATGGAACCCAACTCCCCTGGTGTTCAGTATTACCAACAAATTCAAACCATAAAATAATGTTTTTACGTTTTATTTTATTTATGAAAACATTTTTTTAATTTAAATACTATCTTAACAAGAAATAAAATGTAAGATAACAATCGAAATAAGCATTTTTTTCATGAAAAATGTTTATTTCGCTATTTTGTAAGTATACGATTTTTTTTTCATAAAAAAAAATATCGTCTGCTTACAAAATAGCGAAACTGAGCATGCGCGAAGTGACAGTATCGTCTGGTAAAGTAAATAGTCTACAAGTAAGTTCAAACTTTTATGTTTATTTATTTGAAAAATAACAATAAATGTAGCAGTTGTGATAAATGGGCACACTGTTCTTGTGCCAATATTGAAGAAAGCGATAGTTTAACCATTTTAATTTGTCCTTCTTGTAGTCTATAGTCTATAAAAATAAAATCCCCATCTTACCTCATAGGTGGGGTAAGATGGTGCATTTACATATAGACTAATTTTAAAATATTAAATTTTCTTGTTTTTAAAAACGTTTTTCAAAAATTAAATTTTGTGGACTACTAGTCTATATTTTACCAAATGTTGTAGTTGCTGAGAATAAAAACATTAGACTATTTTTCTCATTAAAGTAGTTGCCATCTTATGACTTTTCATTTTTGCGTTAAAATACATTGGAGTAAATGATTTTCGAATTATTTAACATTCTTTGTACTTTCCTATTTGTTTTTGGCTACATTAAAGCATTTTTTGAAAATATACAGTAAGGTTCCATATTACCACCCGATTTTCTCTAAGTTTACTTTCTGCCTCTTTGTACAAAAGCCTTCAAAAACCATACTTATAGTTACACTAACGAAAAATCCAATTAGGAACATTTAGTTTAATAGTTACAAGTACTTTTTGCACAAAAAATGTGGGTGTAGTTATCATATACCTTGTTTACAATTCACTAAAATGTAATTGGGGTTCCATAATACCACCTTCTCCTCTACCTTTAGGCAGACATTTAGCTATTCGGCAGTTGTCGGCAGTCAAACCAACAATCCATTATCAACAATGAAAAAAAACCAACACTTTATTATCAATAATGCAAAAATCAACAATGTATTATCAACAAACCAACAATTAGCATTTATTTATTATTTTTCCAACAGATGGTGTTACATTTAAAGATGCTTAATTTATGTATTACCCTTATATTTTAGGGTAATACATAGCTTAGTGTCGATTCCAGAGTCTAAGTAATACTGATATAAACTTTGGTCCAGATCGATTTAAGAATAAAGAATTGTATAAAGGACAAACCAACAAGAATTGATTTGAACCAACAAGTATCTTTCCCTCATGTGCATTGAAAATTAATTTAAATAACAACGTCATCATCGATGATTGTGTTGTGACGTTTAATGACACCATGCGAATCTCAGCGGCACTAACTTCTGAATTGGCATTCCTGTCGCTGATTGGTCGGGCCTTCGAGTTTCCTTAACATAGGAAGTATAGGAAGTTGACCTTCTTCGGCCTGCTCTGCCGAGTTGCTTGTTCTTAAATCGAGTTATGGTACGGAAACCGGAGCAAATATGGCGTTAAAAATTCTGTTTGTGAAGTGGTTCGAAAACCGAGATTTGACTGTTCGGTTTGGTTCGGAAAATCGTTCAAAGTTTCTCGTGTGGTTTAGATAGTCGTTCAATATTCAATATTAAAATTAGCATCAATCGAAGTCATATTCAATCTTTATTATAATTTGGAAATAATAAATCATGGACAATACAAATAAATTAATAATTATTTCACTAATTTTCGTTTTATAATTGATTACACGTGTTATTGAATTATGCAAAGTAGAAATAACGTTCACAAGATGATGAATTTCCAATAATTTTTATTAAAGAAACACGAAATTGCTTAAATTTAATATACAAACGGGTTAAAATATAGCTCGTTAAACCAATCTATAAGCGAATGACTATTGCTTCGGAATTAATGTTTGTCGTTTTATTACAACTAAAGAAATCTTTGTATGCTTTCCTGTATTCGGTATCCATGATAGCATAAATTATGGGGTTAATACAACCGGTAAGGAAGTAACCAATGCAGTATATAATATTTAAAACAGGTGGAATTTTGTGTATTTTAAAAAATTAACACTTAGCAGTGGAAAGTAACAGAAGAGGAAAGTTAAATAAATCACAATAATTATCTTCAACAGTTTCAAATTACTCGATGATTTCAGCTTTACTTCAATTTCTAATGTTTCTATGTTTACTTGGAAATAGTTCAAGATATTACAAGATGTTTTATCATCTTTCTTAATCGGTTGCTGACCATACCTGAAATTCTTCTGAAATTTTCTGACGATCCAGAATATCTTCGAGTAACAGAAAGCAATTACCAAAGTAGGAAAAGCAAGTATACCGATTGTAATGATGAAAAGAAAATTTCTGAAAGATTTACCATTCACATCAATCATGGTACAGTACATGTGCCTATTTCGGAATTAAATTCGAATTTTATCCAAACACCGAGACCCGTGGGCATCCAAACGAGAAAAACACCAACCAGATGCAGGAGATTATGATAGAAATACTGATCTCAGAGTAGAACTTGGAGTAACTTTTAGGATAGATGATGATGATATATATGTTAATGGTAATGGCGATTATGGTCAAAACAGATACTATAGAGTTGGAGTAACGTATTAACGGATAGATCATGCATAAAAAACTGTAGTACGTCCATGTTCGGTATATGAATATGGAGGTAACTAGTGGAATGGTGAAGACACAATATAATCCATCGGCAGTGCATAGGTTGATGATGAATGCTGTGGTGGCATCCCTCAGTCGACGAATTTTGAGCAGAGCGATGATAGTGATGATGTTTCCTAAGACTCCAATAACAACGAAGAAGATGCAACAAGCAAAGTACAGTAAAGATCCAATAACAACGAAGAAGATGCTGCAAAGTACAGTAACTCAGGAGGATACGTATCGAAAAAAGAGATAACAGTGGTGTTAGTGAAATTATAATTATCACTGGAAGCTTGTTTGTAATTCATGTTGAAGAACAAATGAATGTAATAAAATTTAGAAGGAAATATTTAACGGGTGTAACAACCTTCGTTTTATGATTCATTAATGCTGATTAATTGGAAGTTTCGAAGAGGGAATTTGGAATCCTTCGAAGAATTATTAAATAAAGAAACGATAAATTAACAGTAAGTAAAATAAATATTGTTTGTCTGTCGGTGTGTCTACGCGAATTCGAGCTTAGAAACGAATATTAGCATTCAGTATCAATTTTATTTATTATAATTATACAATGTAGTGAAATATGAAGGTTTGTTTCCAGTTGTTACTAAACGGAAATTACTTATGAGGAAATTTTCTATACACAAATTTGGAAATTTCGGAAAGATGCATCCTGCCAAAAGAATCTCAACTATAAAATTCTAAGTTACAATTTTATATTAAAACAACTGTTAAATTCGTCAAAAATGGCGGATTGTTTTAAGAGAAATTTCAATTCAAAAATTCTACCGATAAAATGCGGTTTGCGCGGAGTTGGTGATGTATAGATACAGTATTAGATTTCAAAAATTATTTAATTACAATTGAAAAATAACATTGTAACAAACAATTTTTTAGTTTGGTTTCAATATGGTTTAATTAATGGGATAAAGTAACGCAACACATGAGTGATTGCAAGACATAGCGGAAGAGATTTCCATTAGCGTAACCGGGGAGGGGTCGGTCCCCCGAGCTCCTTAGCTTCGTAAATAAATTAAGAAAAAAATCAATTAAGTTCAGGGAAAAGATTTGAATGTGGCAAACGTATTTATACGTATGTATACACAATACAATACCTAAGAGTTGATTATTCATCCACAGTCTAGTGAATTTATCCATAGTAGTACAAGGTAAATACAGGTTTGCTGACGTTTTAATTTGGTTTTTCCTCTAATGTAGGTTTTAGTCATTCTATTACATGCAAACTCACCAATACGAAATATGTGACGGTGTGAGCGACAAAAGAGTATCGTATGCATGATGCACGCCTGTTTAATTAAGGACAATTTATGAAGTTTTTTTTGCCGTTCTCAGCACCACATATCCCGTAGTAGTGAGTATTTGAACTGAACTTTCCTTCGTGGATTGGTTCTGTGCATGTTCTGGAATATCAACATGGTAAATTTGGTTAGGTTAGGATTGCAGAATTTTCTTCAAGACATCGTTAAATAGAGCTACTTTAATTATGATTTCCTTTTAAATTTCCGTCCCGTAGGTAACAAGATAGCCTTTATATCAGGCATGAGCTTATAAAGGCTTTCACGAGTTTTGATAGATTCCAATGAGATGACCATTGCTCTCGGAAAGCGAAACCATCGCGCGAAATGGAATCGCTTAGTCGCGGGACAAAAAATCTCGCTCTCTCAGATATCTGACACTGATTTTTATCGCGGTTTGAGGGTTTTTGCTTTATACTGCGCTTGTGCATTAGTTTCTTACTCATTTCTGGTGTTTGAAGTATTCAAACATAACTTCTTCAGCGTTTAGGGGAGAGAAGAAAAACGATTAAAATTTCTTTCGCGAGAGATTTATTAATTCACAAGTCCGTTACCGAGTAATCAGAAATATAGAATAAGCGATTTAAAACTATTCGAAATAAAGGTATTGAACGTCGTCTTCTGACCATTTTAATTTTACACCTTGAAAGAAAAAGAAGAATTCAGGCTATTGTATGGCAATTTTATCGAGAGCGAGAAACTAGAAAGCAAGAAACAAGATAATCTGATACCATTACATTCGCTTTCATCTTTATAAATCTTATTAGAAAGAATTTATCACTCGACTTTTATCAAATATATAGAATATTGTATAAATTATAGATTATTTTATAAGTGACTCATATGTGCTGCTCTATTTCTTCTAGTCTTTTCAGAACAAATGAATAGTTCCTTGTATGCTTTTCTATATTCACTGCTCATGATGACATAAATAATAGGATTAACACAACCGGTAAAAAAGTATCCAATGTATCCTATAATGTTCAAAATAGGTAAACTTTCTTCTTTTCTAAAGATTTTAACTATTATCAAAGGAACGTAACAGAAGATAAAAGCCAAAAATATCACCAGAATTACCTTCAACAGTTTTAAATCTTTCGAAGTTTTCCGGTTTTCCTGAATTTTTGAAGTTTTCTTCTCTGTTCTACAGCAATTTAATTTGCTGCAGATGCTTCTCTCTTCTTCTTTTATTATTTTTCTTCTCGCCTGCAAACTTTTTTCCGATTTTCTGACGACCCAATAAATCCTCGAATAACAGAATGCAAACACCAAAGTGGGTGCACAAAATGCCATAAAAAAAAGAAAGTTTTTGGAAGATTTACCATTCACATTAACCATGGTACAAGTGCCCACTTGGGGATTAAATGCGAATTTTCCCCAAATACCGAGAACTGTGGGCACCAAAAGGAGAAAAGATACCAACCAGATGCAGACAATGCTGATAGAAATGCTAATTTTAGTATAGATCCTAGAGTAAATTTTCGGATGGACGATGATAACGTATCTGTTAATGGTAATGGCCATAATTGTCAAAACAGATACTGTAGCATTAGAGTAACGTATCAACGGATAAATCATGCAGAGATAGTTGTCATATATCCATGTCATGTGTATAAATGTGGAGGTAGCAAGTGGAAGAGTGAAGGCACAGTAAAATCCATCGGCAGCGCATAGATTGATGATGAATGCTGACGTTGCATTCCTCAATCGAGGACTTTTGAGAAGAGCGATAATAGTGATGATATTCCCAGGCACTCCAATAACAACGAAGCAGATGCAACAAGCTGCTGCAAAGTACAGTAACTCAGGAGGATATTTATCGAAGAGATTAATAACGATAGTACTATTACTCAAATTATAATTGTTACTCGAGGAGTCTTGCGAGTAGTTCATGTTAGAAACTTAAATGAAAATGAAAATATATGAGAGGAAATGTGTTTAACGGATGTAGTAACGTTTGCTGAATAATAATGTTACGTGAAAGACATAAAAATTCTGATAAAGGAAGGAAGTTTCAAAACAACGAAAAGATTTATAAAATAAATTAATTTTATTGAAAAGTAAATGATCAAATTAATATTATTAAATTGTTAATTAATTAATTAATCATCCTGTTTGACATCGAACTTAAGGGAAATATAAAAGGTTCGCTTTACGACGGTTGAGGTTTAAAGCGAGATCTGTTGTACATTTTTCTTTTGTTTCTATATAGTAAGCCTATATTTATAAAAATTTACAGCAAAACCTGAAACGAGCTAAAGTTTAGGGTTTTAAGTTATGAGAGGCCTCGATGATTCTCAAACACAATATGTGTTTATCGTTATTTGATGGAGAGAAAGTATTTATATGTTTTCCTTAAGATCATAGTAAGTGTAAATACATATATAAGGCTCATATTGGCGATTGTAAGATCGTAAAACAGAACTTATCTGTTAAAATCGCTAACCAAGCATCTTACTGATAGCTTCTCAGAGGTTCTGTGTTCAGAATTTTCAGTATACATGTTGTTATAGTGATCTTCGAACGTTGGAATGTCTATACGACACAGAAAAAACGTTACATACAGCTGACGGAGTTTGGGAAAGGTCTCATCATCGTGCTGAAAGAAACAGGATGGCCATTCAAATTGACCATCGTCTGATCGTTCTGACTTGATTGTGGGCAGTTAGGGCTGTGAATATGTTAGGGCACACATGCAGCGAGCGAGCGCTGTAAGTCCAGACAGCCTATCAAGAGAGATAATCAGCTTTTGAGGCAGGCATTAACAGCTGCAACAGTGTTTTTTCCTCGCCATTTAGAGACAGGTACAAATCTCGCTACAGAACCCTTTTGGCATGCGATTCCTGTCATTAGCATTGTCGTCTTTTTGCAGTACTGTAATGCTATTTTATAAATGTGTGGATTACTACCGACTGGCAATGTATTGTCTTTAGTAACAAATCCGTTTTCGAACAACTTTTAGGGACAAATTAAGTTCAAAACCCGAGGTTTTACTATATTTCGTACGACTAGATCATCCCTAATATTATCAGGATGTATATTCAAGAAATCCTACGCCCTCGTGTATTGTCATTCATGATATGACTGCAAACAGCAATTTTCCAGCAAGATAATTTTCGCACACAGATTTTTCCAAAAAAGTGTCCTACACGTTACACCCTTTTCGGCCTGTCCAGACTCTACATTTGTTATCATTGAGCATTTATGGGACCAAATAAAACGTCAAATTCGACTAATAGTGGAGTTGCAGTAGCAACTTCTGTGGGAAATCTGTAGCAGGATGATATCTATATGCCTCCACATTCTACTATGACACCGCCTGTATTCAGGAAAGAGAATGTCCTAAATGGTACGAAAGGTTTTTTTTTAAATTGTACCGTCACTCTGTACAAAATTGTTGCTTTGCTGTGATACTGTAATCACTTAAGACCGACTGACACTCTTTTCTTTGTGCGAAATTTTTTCTCAATGAGTATATTTTATAATAATTACTAATACTTAACGTTAAGTCAAATGAGACCACCATTAATCACCATTGAATGATTCAACAGACGGAAACAGTAATTTAACACTGTCTTTTATCGATAATCAGATTATGTAAATATTTTAATGATTATTAAACAAGTTTATTTACAAATTACTTGAAAAGATTAATAATTACTTTTTACATACAGTATATACATTATAACAATACAACATTAAATATTTATTACAGGCTACTTATATACCGTAAATAATTATTATACATTATTTATTCAATTAATAACTGAATATTTTTAAACTAAAATGTATGAAAAAATATTTTAAAACGTTATACATACATAAAAATAAAATAAGTATTAATGTCATTTTTCAAATTAAATAAAATAATTTTTTCATTAAAAATATTAAAGAACATTTAAAAATGTAGGCTGATTTATAAACTTGTATTGCGTGTCTCTGTAACGCTGTGAACTGTTTTATTACAGACGAATAATTCTTTATAAGCTCTTCTGTATTCTCTGCTCGTAATGACGTAAATAATAGGATTGATGCAAGCGGTGCTATAACCTCCAAGATAGCCTAAGATGTTCAATGCGGGGAGGCTCTTCTCCTTTTTAAAGATTTTCACAAAAATAATGGGAGTATAACAGAACACGAATGCTAAAAATATCACCAGAATCACTTTTAACACTTTTAAATCTTTAGATTGCTTTTGCTTTTTTTCTCTTTCCGATTTTTCCGCTTTCTTTCCACAACATTTTAATTTAAGGTTCACACTCTTCTCTTCTTTCTTTAATTCATGCCCGATTTTTAATTTTCTTTTCGATTTTCTGACGATCCAGAATATCCTGGAGTAACAAAACACAAAAATGAAACATGGAATAACAAATGCCAAGATGTGAATAAAAGTTTTCGACGATTTTCCGTTAACTTTCACCACCGTACACGTCCCCACTTCGGGATTAAAAGCGTATTTTCCCCAAATTCCAAGAGCAGTGGGTGTCATCAATGCAAAGGATACCAACCATATAAACGCGATGATAACAGAAATGTTCATCTTAGTATAGATCTTCGTGTAGCTTTTGGGATGGACGATGATGACGTATCTGTTGATTGTAATGGCAATAATGGTGAAGAGAGAAACAGCAGCATTTGAGGAACGAAATAGAGGGAAAATCATACAAAGAAAGTCGCTGTAGATCCACGTCTTGTGTATGAACATGGACGCTGCGAGAGGAAGACTAAAAATACAAAATAGTCCATCTGCCACGCACAAATTGATGATAAATGCCGAGGTGACATTTCTCAATCGAGGACTTTTAAGTAAGGCTACGATGGTCACGAAGTTTCCTGGCACTCCAATAAAGACGAACACAATACAAGCAGCTGCTGCGAAGTACAGTAACTCCTTTGGATACGTTTCGAAAAGCGGAACAGTTGTTACGTTAATGACAGAACTGTCGTTTTTTATAACCGAGTCATTTATAAATAGATTAACATTAATAAAATCTGTGCCTTGATTCCAGTTTAATACCTCTATCGAGTCGTTCATCTTGAAAAGTGAACCAGGAAAGCATTAAAGGAAGTACATCAAACGGAAGTTTAATACCTTTACTTAATCACAACGTTAACATATTACCAAGAATCACAATATTGAGATTGAGAGACAAGTACTTCTCTCAGGTACGATAATATGATCGAATTCGGTGGCCTCCTGAGCGTCGTAATCCGGAGGTGGACGTATTTGTTAACTAGTTTACTACTATAAGATGATTTGGATAATTTCTACAACAATGTCGGATCCTATCCCTCACCACCCGGCTGCCCGTTGTGGGTCTGGCCGAGTGTCAAGAGTCCAAAAAAATTGAATTTTTATCATAAATTTTTAATACTTTTTCATTAACAATGAGCACTTATCGTAAAATAAAAAAATAGTTAATATTAAATAATATAATAATAATGAAAATTTATAGTATTATTTATATTAACAAAAAAATGGAGCCACATTAGACTTCAATAAGCCCTAGGCCCCGAAAAATCTAGATCCGTCCCTGCATGAACGCAATACCTATTAGCGAATATTTTCTTCTTTTACCTAATAGTTCATAGTTCTAGCAATAGAGGTCAGTGTGTGTCGAAGCCTTCGACGTAATTCCACACATTCCCCCCGTAGAGAACGAATATACTAATTTTTTTTAAAATATAGATTATTCGATTTGATTAAGGCAACTCAATATGGCGCGATCTGCCTCCCGGGAAAATTTTCAATGGATAAAGAGCATTTTTGATATTTGTTCCTCTTACTGAGACGCTGATGCTAAATCTAACTAAAGTACTTCTTAAGAGCTTAGAAAAGATGTCATTATCCGATAGGAAACTTAATTGGACAAGGATATGATAATGAACAACTTGAAGGGTACAAGTAGTGGTGCAGAGCAAACATTTTTGGATATTAATCCACAGCTGAAAAAGTCACTCTTTAAATCTTGTAGTAAATAATGCTGCTAAGTGTTGTTTGGCTTCCACATCTTTTGTTTTAAATCTGTATTTCACTGCTTCAATTTTATGTTAAATAGTTTTGCTGCGCCACGTGTTTTGCCTTCTCTAACACTAAGCGAAATAAGATGGAAAGTCGATCATTTCGGTACCAGCCTTCGGTGCTGTACAGTAAATTTACGGACATTTACGAAGACACTACTCTCAAACGATCATTTGGCAATCGATCATAACTTGATAGGAATATCTGGGGCCTTCAGGGCCTTTCCGTGGAAAATTGACCCCTGTTTACGTGTTAAATACGTGAAAAAAAAATCAGGAAAACTTCTCGTGAGAACAGCTACCAGTGTTTGGAGGTTTAAATTTGGGGTGACCATACATCCCGGGACAGTAACGCATTTCTCACGTTTTTAACCCTCAAATATAGAATAAAACTTTAAATAGAAGCGTTTTATAGGTCTTCTAATGTAATAAAACCGATTTATAAGTTAATAAATAAATAAATTTTTAAAAATAATCTAAATTTTCTCACTTTTAGACTCATCTTTCCGNATTTGAAGCTTCTTGTGGCATAAATTTGAAATCCCACCGAGAGCCTACCAATGGCAAATTAGATAAAACCACTGAATACTGATCATGGGTCTGCTCCTCACTAATGGACTAACCATGCAAAGTTTTCCAGGATTTCTTGGCATATTTAGCACCTAAACAGGGGCCAGTTTTCTGAAGAGAGTCTTTTCGGAAGGCCCTCCCAGTAACGACTTTCTTCGGCACAATCTTTCTACACAGTGGCCCCGTCTGAGTGCACCACTATGTAGAAGGATGAATGAATGTAGTAAAATCGAGAAGGAACTGTGTTTAACGGATGTAACAATTTTCGCATCGCGATTCATTAATGTTAATTTATTTGAATTTTCGAGAATTGGTGCCTACTAGTGGCAGAGCGGATAAACCACTAAACACTGGTAGCTAGTCGCCGGTTTGCGCCACTTCAACGAGCTGGCCATGTGGAGTTTTTCGAGTTCTCTTCACGTTAATAACGCCTAAACAGGAGCAGTTCCTCATAAAAAAATTTCCGGGAGATATCCCACTTGGAAGATCGTTCATGTGTCGCGTTACTGTATATGAATAAACCAAACCGAAGATTGAAATTAGAAAATATACATAATAAATTAATTCTAATAGCGGTAGGAGAGCTCCAGGAAGTCTTATAGATGTGATCTTCCCGGATAATTCGGCCACCATCCCTCTCCACCAACCCGTCCCATTGTGGGCCTGGCAGAAACCATAACGAACAGGAAAAAAGCTATATTAATGCTCACAGAACGGAGGAAAAAAATTGCAAATTTAACTTGCTCATTTAAATTGCACAATAATTTAAATATGTAAATTGTTTACGTAATCCATCATTACAAAACGAATCTATTTTTTATAACAAATTTGCAATTTTTTCAACTCTGCTTTTAGTCATTTGCATAATTGAATGGGTTACATAAGCCGTATATTATGCTAAAAATGCCTACAAATGCAATATATATATTGTATATAATATATTATGTATTACATACTAGCAATGTGTGCCCGACGTTCGGGTTTTTGAGGGGGTGCGGAATTGAGAGAGTGTGATAAAACAATGGCCCTAGTAACTAAAACGTCATTTATTGACCTGAGTATTTATAATAATGAAACTGTAAAAAAGAAAAAATTGCTCTGTCTTTCAAAGATAGCAGGACAAAGATAAAAGATCATTCTCGTTCCGTTGCATAACTTTAGTAATTCAAATTTCGCAAGACCATTAGTGTGCTCCAACCTACAGCTCTAGGTTATGAGGTGGTTATGCAGCTAGATCCAAGGAATTTAAAAACTCTACTAGGTACAGTACATTCGGCAACGCATTTGTTTTTAGATGCGAATGTTGCTCTCTGGCATATCCATTTGTGGTTTATGTAGTGTTATCAAATTAGTATCTGGATCTTCAGTGAATTTGCCATTACCGAGACGCAAAAGTTTTTTAGCACACAGCAAACTTCTCTGCAGATTTGTCGCCTAATAGATGAACCCTCATCTAAAGAGAACTTTTTAACGTGATTTCACAGTAATGATAGAAGAGAAGGTGGTATTATGGAACACTGCGGGTATTATGGAACCACGCCATTTCGAACTGATAATAAAGGCGAACTGTAGCGGAATGTGGCTGAACTGAACTAGGCAGACATCCATAGCAAGGGGAAAACCCGTTTTACTTCAGTTAAACGGTTGTCCGCATTTAAAATATAAATCGTGTAGTTGTAAGTTCACTGGTGCATGTATTCCGTTCCAGAGACTTAGGGGTACATATTAATCTGTTTGATTTTCACGTTTTTAAAGTTTGGTGCCGATAGGAATTAAGTTAACCCAAGATGGAGATGCGTGAAATATGGACCCCATTGGTGCTTTTAATATGAAACCCAACTCCCCTGGTGTTCAGTATTACCAACAAATTCAAACCATAAAATAATGTTTTTACGTTTTATTTTATTTATGAAAACATTTTTTTAATTTAAATACTATCTTAACAAGAAATAAAATGTAAGATAANTAAAGACGAACACAATACAAGCAGCTGCTGCGAAGTACAGTAACTCCTTTGGATACGTTTCGAAAAGCGGAACAAAAAGCGGAACAGTTGTTACGTTAATGACAGAACTGTCGTTTTTTATAACCGAGTCATTTATAAATAGATTAACATTAATAAAATCTGTGCCTTGATTCCAGTTTAATACCTCTATCGAGTCGTTCATCTTGAAAAGTGAACCAGGAAAGCATTAAAGGAAGTACATCAAACGGAAGTTTAATACCTTTACTTAATCACAACGTTAACATATTACCAAGAATCACAATATTGAGATTGAGAGACAAGTACTTCTCTCAGGTACGATAATATGATCGAATTCGGTGGCCTCCTGAGCGTCGTAATCCGGAGGTGGACGTATTTGTTAACTAGTTTACTACTATAAGATGATTTGGATAATTTCTACAACAATGTCGGATCCTATCCCTCACCACCCGGCTGCCCGTTGTGGGTCTGGCCGAGTGTCAAGAGTCCAAAAAAATTTAATTTTTATCATAAATTTTTAATACTTTTTCATTAACAATGAGCACTTATCGTAAAATAAAAAAAATAGTTAATATTAAATAATATAATAATAATGAAAATTTATAGTATTATTTATATTAACAAAAAAATGGAGCCACATTAGACTTCAATAAGCCCTAGGCCCCGAAAAATCTAGATCCGCCCCTGCATGCAAGCAATACCTATTAGCGAATATTTTCTTCTTTTACCTAATGATAGTTCATAGTTCTAGCAATAGAGGTCAGTGTGTGTCGAAGCCTTCGACGTAATTCCACACATTCCCCCGTAGAGAACGAATATACTAATTTTTTTTTTAATATAGATTATTCGATTTGATTAAGGCAACTCAATATGGCGCGATCTGCCTCCCGGGAAAATTTTCAATGGATAAAGAGCATTTTTGATATTTGTTCCTCTTACTGAGACACTGATGCTAAACCTAACTAAAATACTTCTTAAGAGCTTAGAAAAGATGTCATTTTCCGATAGGAAACTTAATTGGACAAGGATATGATAATGAACAACTTGAAGGGTACAAGTAGTGGTGCAGAGCAAACATTTTTGGATATTAATCCACAGCTGAAAAAGTCACTCTTTAAATCTTGTAGTAAATAATGCTGCTAAGTGTTGTTTGGCTTCCACATCTTTTGTTTTAAATCTGTATTTCACTGCTTCAATTTTATGTTAAATAGTTTTGCTGCGCCACGTGTTTTGCCTTCTCTAACACTAAGCGAAATAAGATGGAAAGTCGATCATTTCGGTACCAGCCTTCGGTGCTGTACAGTAAATTTACGGACATTTACGAAGACACTACTCTCAAACGATCATTTGGCAATCGATCATAACTTGATAGGAATATCTGGGGCCTTCAGGGCCTTTCCGTGGAAAATTGACCTCTGTTTACGTGTTAAACACGTGAAAAAAAATCTGGAAAACTTTTCGTGAGACCAGCTACCAGTGTTTGGAGGTTTAAATTTGGGGTGACCATACATCCCGGGACAGTAACGCATTTCTCACGTTTTTAACCCTCAAATATAAAATAAAACTTTAAATAGAAGCGTTTTATAGGTCTTCTAATGTAATAAAACCGATTTATAAGTTAATAAATAAATAAATTTTTAAAAATAATCTAAATTTTCTCACTTTTAGACTCATCTTTCCGGTTTGCTCAATAAACAATATGGTCACTCTAATCCACTCCGCTACTGGTGGACACTGAAAGACCATGTCATTGCAACGGTCTTATTCAGATTAATTTAATGTTTTATAATTATATTTAATATATTTAAACTTTGTATAATTTTATAATTATGATTAATACTTAACGTTGAGTTAATTGCAATGACCCTTACTCACTATACAATGATAAACGGACAGGAAACAGTAACATATGATAGCCTTTTATCAGTAAATTAGATTAATTTTCATGTAAAATGTTTTTTAGTGATTATTAAATAAATTTATTTACAAATTAATTGATTTATTACAAAGTTATTAATTATTTTTTCTATATTTACATTATTAATTATTCTATACATTTGTCCAGGGTTTGCTGTACAAACTCCTATTTTTACATAAAAAAAACAGTAAATGAAATCTATGTAAAGCATTAAAAAATGTAATTTATAAACTTGTAGTGTGTGTCTCTGCAACACTGTGAACCGTCTTCTTACACTTGAATAACTCTGAGTAAGCTCGTCTGTATTCTCTGCTCATGATGACGTAAATAATAGGATTGATACAACCGGTACAATAACCTCCAAGATAGCCTATAATGTTCAATGCGGGAAGGCTCTTCTCCTTTTTAAAGATTTTCACAAATATAATGGGAGTATAACAGAACACGAAAGCTAAAAATATCACCAGAATCACTTTTAACAGTTTTAAATCTTTAGATTGCTTCTGCTTTCCTTCGTTTTCCGATTTTGCCTCTTTCTTTCCACAACATTTTAATTTAAACTTTCCATCATTCCCTTCTTTCTTTAATCCATGCCCGAGTTTTAATTTTCTTTCCGATTTTCTAACGATCCAGAATATCCTGGAGTAACAAAACACCAAAGTGAAGCACGGTATAACAAATGCCAGGATGTGAATAAAAGTTTTCGACGATTTTCCATTGACTTTCACGACGGTGCACGTCCCCACTTCGGGATCGAAAGCGAATTTTCCCCAAATTCCAAGAGCAGTGGGTATCAACAATGCAAAGGATACCAACCAGATAAAAGCGATAATAACAGAAATGCTCACCTTAGTGTAGATCTTAGTGTAGTTTTTGGGGTGGACGATGATGACGTATCTGTTGATTGTAATGGCAATAATGGTGAAGAGAGAAACGGCAACATTTACGGAACGAAATAGAGGGAAAATCTTGCAAAGAAAGTCACTGTAGATCCACGTCTTGTGTATGAATAGGGATGCTGCTAGCGGAATGCTAAACATGCAAAACAGTTCATCTGCCACGCACAAATTGATGATAAATGCCGAGGTGACATTTCTTAATCGAGGACTTTTAAGTAAGGCTACGATGGTCACGAAGTTTCCTGGCACTCCAATAAAGACGAACACAATACAAGCAGCTGCTGCGAAGTACAGTAACTCCTTTGGATACGTTTCGAAAAGCGGAACAGTTGTTACGTTACTGACAGAACTGTCGTTCGTTAAAACAGAATCATTTATAAACAGAGTAACATTAGTAAAATCTGTACTTTGATTCCAATTTGACATCTCTAGCGAGCCGTTCATGCTGGAAAGTGAATCAGAAAAACGTTGAAGGAAATACATCAAACTTCCGTTTGATATTTGCACTTTATCTATAAGTTTAAGACATTACTGGAAACAGGAGACATTTAGAGAGAGAGAGGAACGAGCATGACTTTCAGACCGTGAAATAACAAAGGACACTTTGGATTGTAACATTTAGTAAATTATTAAAAATTTGACGTAAATTTAAATATTATACTATTATTAACAACGAAAATGTTAAAAACAGCTGCTAATGTGCGTTAGTTTTGTCAACGTATTCTTTTTAAGAATGTGCTGAGTATGTGTGCATCAGCACATTTTTAAATCGATTAAATATGCTGTAAAATGAATATACAGCGTTTTATCACAATTACGTATATACATTGTCATGCCAGAAAAATAGAAACACCGCTACTTAGATGAGTCAGCTAACATTACTGCAAAATTTTGAGCTATTTATTAATGTTAATTTAATAACATGTAAATCGTTTTTAAGTTACAGATCAAGATAAGTAGGCTAAGAACAAAATGTGACTTTGATCGCAGACTTAAGTGCAAAACAGATTGGCTACTCTATGTCAGAGGTGACTGCTATATTTGGGTTTTTCTGTGCAACTACATCAAGAGCATACAATGATTATTTGATATCTGGTGAAAAGTCTCGGATACAATACTTTGATGTTCGAGGCTTTCGTCGGTTGTCACAGATTCTAAAAACTATCAGATCATCATAGCCATTTTTAATTCTGTGCACAGAGGAGGCAAACGAAGCACTTGTCCTCCCACGAGATCGAGTAAAAAATTCCATAAAAAGTCGTATCGTAAAAGTGATTGAGATTTGTAACCTTGAATCCTCGACCATGAGATGTTTTTTCTGTCTTAAAATAAAACAAAACATTAAATAAAAATTTATTGCTGTAATTATTTCTCATCAAGCTTTTCCCCCTGGAAAATTTTCTGCGGATGCTCATGTCTATAACGATGCTAGAATTTGGAAGTTATCTTATTCTGTACCCCTACTAACAGCTCGTCACCGTACCTTGTAGCACGGTGAAGAGCTGTTAGCAACCTAATGAAACATTTCCTGGGCTATCCTGGTAGTTATCCTAGAATACACATCCGAACAAAACCTCGTAAAGCCATGGACCTGTCATCCCACAAGGAAACTGTGCAAACTGCTGAGAATGGTGTTTCGATATGGAATGGCTTTAGTTTAACGGATACTGGTTCTGAAGCTTCTTAGCACCACAATTACTGGAAACAATTACCTGGACATTCTTGTAAATCATATGCATATGACCCTACACGTGAATGGCAATTGTTTCTTTCAACAGGACAAATAACCTCCACACAACACACGGTGGGTTCAAATATGGCTGGAGAAACATTCAAGAAACTTTAGTGTCATTGAACTGAAGTTGCTAGAATGCACCCTAATCCTCCCAAGCACCTTAACTTCGATCCCATTGAACATCTCTAGGATGTTGTTAAAAGTGGCATTCGAAAGTTCTTGCATGTAGCTTCTAGCCACGCTAGACACTACATTCAATGTTCTGTTTTTGTACATAGTATATCTGTTTAATAAATAGGCGCATTTGTATTTTTCTGTTGTGTTTTATTGCTCATCTATAACAATATAACTGTGAAAACCATAGCTTATGCTGCTCTGATGCATTTAAACAGTCATAGAAATTTAACCCAGATAAAAACAAACTTATTAGTTATAATATTAAAGTATACAATTTTACTTGATTCGGTACAATGAAAACAGTATTAGTTGAAAAAAATTGCCAGGACGAATTTATATTTACAAAAATATATTTCTTGGTAGACTATACATACCGAATGAAATAGACTCATCCAGTTCTATCAGTATTAGTTGAATTGAGAGTATTTGGGATAATCTTTGACGTGAGAAATTACATTTGTTATGACATTCACATTGAGTCTACATATTTTAGTAGTTTAAAGAGATTCTGCACCATTACAAGTAGAATATGAATGCAGATTTATTGATAGCCTACTAACACATTTCCTTGTTTATATATATACTGCATATGACTAAAATACCAAGTAATGTGTCTTTAAAGTACGAGAGAGTAAAAAAAAGAGTACAAGCTATAAAAAAGGACATCGTACATTATGTAAGAAGCTTCAAACTATGACTCAACGTCGGATCAGCTGATGGCACTGATTGCACTCGGGGTTAATTTGGCCTTATAAACAAGGATTGTGGTTTTGTTCAACATACGAAGTTCCGTGAGACAATTGACAAATACTGCTTATTAGTTTCTTTTATATTTGCAGAATAGTCTACGTATAAGTCATAAATTTTCTGTTGTCTCTTGATAATGAAATTTGGGGCCTCTTGGTGATTAGGAAAAGGACAATCCAGAGAAAAAAGGGCGGCACGTGCCCTAATGTTTGGGCTCCCTGCTACGAATCCTCGTTATTACTGCCAATATCTAATAATATTAAATACTGTTTGAGTTCTTTCCCTCCTACATTTATTCTATTTGTCAACATCTAACTCATTATCTGCCTATAAATATGACCCTAAATAGTTAAAATTTCCCGTATTCTAATATAGAGTTGGGAAATATTTGGAAAACTTTTTAAATTTATTTCGTCAATCTCGGGAGTTCGTGAACTATCGTAAACAACAGAGAGGGAGTATAAAATGTCTCAAAACTACACGTAATTAATGGACGATTCCTGTAAAGCAAGGTTACTTGATAATATGGCTGGAAAGATGCTGTTGTAATCACCTCTCGTTTTCGTCGTAGATCTCACAACTGGTCCCAAAAGGCGACGAGCGTTGCCTCCGAACGATTCAAGGGGCCCTTGTAGCTGTGAGACTTTCCCTCTTAATATCCATTTAAAAAAAGGAACCCACGCAGAAACGAGAATGAAAAATTCCGAAATATTGGAAGTTCGAATTACCAAAGGATACGGCCATAATAGAACCTCTTTCGACAGAAGCAATTCAGACAAAAATCAAGATCATTAACAGAAAGAGGTCCAAATGTGAAAATGGAGAAGGAAATTACAAATAATCCTTTCCAGCCATATAATTTTCGTAATGTTTATGTATGCTGTATGTTTATGTTTTGAAAAGTGAACACGAAGAGTTGAGTGTATGCGTGTCTATTTTAACTGGTCTCTTTTCCTTATGAGAATTTGACATCCTTCATCTTTACCCTACTCTGAAATATTAAGAGGTAGAGGCAAATACACACTCACGCATATTCCGGAAATTTCCCCCTTTTATCGATTAAATTAGATTAATTTTATATAAAATATTTTATTAAATAAATTTATTTACAAATCTGTTAATTTATTAAAAGGCGTGTAATTATCCTTTTCACATATTTGCATTATAACAATATAATACTACTTATTATAGGATGCATATATGCATACATATAATGTATTTAATTGTATAGTTTAATGCAAAATGTAAATACTGCATATGAACAAACGCTTAAAAAATGTAGTTTATAAGCTTGTAGTGCGTGTCTCTGCAACACTATTAACTTTATTATTACAGATGAATATTTCTTTATAAGCTCTTCTGTATTCTCTGCTCATAATGACATAAATGATAGGATTGATACAAGCGGTGCAATAACCACCAAGGTAGCCTATGATATTCAAAATAGGCATGCTCTTCTCTTTTTTAAAGATTTTAACAAATGTAACAGGAGAATAACAGAGGATGAAAGCTAAAAATATCACTAGAATCACCTTTAGCAGTTTTAAATCTTTAGATTGTTTCTGCTTTCTTTCGCTTTCCGATTTTTCCGCTTTCTTCCCGAAACATTTTATTCTAAAGTTCACGCTCTTCTCTTCCTTCTTTAATCCATGCCCGATTTTTAATTTTCTTTCCGATTTTCTGACGATCCAGAATATCCTGGAGTAACAAAAGATGAAAGTGAAACTTGGTATAACAAATGCCAAGGTGTGAATAAAAGTTTTTGACGACTTTCCGTTAACTTTCACCACTGTACACGTCCCCACTTCGGGACTAAATGCGTATTTTCCCCAAATTCCGAAGGCAGTGGGTGTCAGCAATGCAAAAGATACCAACCAGATAAACGCGATGATAACTGAAATGCTCACCTTAGTATAGATCTTCGTGTAGCTTTTGGGGTGGACGATGATGACGTATCTGTTGACCGTAATGGCAATAATGGTGAAGAGAGAAACGGCAGCGTTTGAGTAACGAAGCAGAGGGAAAATCATACAAAGGAAGTCACTGTAGATCCACATCTTGTGTATGAACATGGACGCTGCGAGCGGAAGACTAAAAATACAAAATAGGCCATCGGCCACGCACAAATTGATGATAAATACCGAGGTGACATTTCTCAATCGAGGACTTTTGAGTAAGGCTACGATGGTCACGAAGTTTCCAGGTACTCCAATGAAGACGAATACAATACAGGAAATCGCTGCGAAGTACAGTAACTCCTTTGGATACGTTTCGAAAAGCGGAACAGTTGTTACGTTACTGACAGAACTGTCGTTTGTTATAACCGAGTCATT